ATCTTTCGTTATCTCTTCTTTCCATTCTTAGATCTCGATTAAGATTTCTCTATCATTAACTTTTCCTGCTACTCGAGTCACATCCCTTTGTACAACTTTTTCACGAAATCCATTCGTTAAATCTCGAGTTTAAACCAGAATAATAAATTCGATTCAGAATTGTGGAATTTCTCCATTTTAAGATTTATATTCTTCAAAATTTACACAATTAACTTCCATTCATTTATGAAATTCTTCCTTCTTCACTTCTTTCTCACGTTTTTCCTCGATCCATCATCAAAATCCTCGAGTTTCGTTAAAAAAAAACTACGAAATCACACAAACGTTGAGCATCCAGAGACCACCATTTTTCGAGTCGACGATATGTCACTTCTTTTCTTCTGGAAGAACCAACCGGATCGAACCGCCATTTTATCTTCTCGCCTCGACACTCTTTATTTACGCGTCGATCTCTCTGCGATGAATGGCGTCGAGGAAGAGCGAATAGGGAAAATAGCGCGAGGGAGAGGAAGAAGGGAGTTGGATGCTCGAAAGGGGGTGGATTATTTACAGCGTGACGGTGTTCCGGGGCTGTTGTGTACGTTGTCAGGTAGGCGGATCGGAGGTCTGAGGCAATTTGCATTTATTTGCGGGTTCCTGACTACGCCCCCTTTTCATGGCTCGCCATCAGACCAGATACGTATCTCTCGCGCCGCTGTTTCACACTTACGTCGGCCGAACCTCGCGTTTTTTGCTCGCGATATTATATCGGGATCGGTTACACATTGTTGTCAGAGTCGATTCGTTTTTTTCTTTCCTTTTTTTCTCTTTTTTCTCTCTTTTTTTTTTTTATTTCGGACGATAAGGGGATCGATAATCGGACGAGAGATTTACAGCGGAACGATCTAGCGAGAGAGTTTTTTTTTTTTTTTTTTTTTAATCTCAAAAATTTATTGCCAACGAGAGATCGATCAACGTGAATATTATAAATTCCCTCGTTATTCGCTCGATTTGTCAGCATTGTTTCGATTCACCATTTATGCGAATCATCCATAGGGAAAAGAATTCGTAAGTAAGAAGAGAACAGAAGATGTCAGAAGGTGTTATTTCTCCGTCCAAAATTTTCGGTGAAGAGAGAAACGAGTCTTCGACCCCCCTCGAATCGTCAACCGGAACGATCCACCATGTTCTCTTCCAATCATCTCGACTCGAGATCGGGGATCTCATAGGTGGAGGAGAAGACGAAATTCGAAAGAAAGACTCCTCCTGTCACCACCGACGCCTCGTAAACAAACACGGGTCCCCGTAAATCAATTACGTCTTCATCCATCCATCCATCCATCCCTCCCTTCACGCTCCGGCCATCAACGATATCCCAGCGACGATACCGTGACGATCTCGTCGCGACCTTGAACAGGAAGCACCTCTACGGAAAGCTCGTCTCCTCGGTGGTGCGGTAATCCTCGAACGAGCTACCAACTGGCTCGAACGAAGGAGCCCCCTTCTGGACAACGGCTTCTGAGAGAGGGCACCATCTTGTGCTTCTCTCTCTCTCTCCCTCTCTCTTTCTCTCTCATTCTCTTCGCCAATTGGACGAGCCCTTGTCCAAGGGAACTCGTGAGGGAAGAGACAACATATTCTTTCCTCATCTCTCTCCCTCATTTTCATTCTCATTCTCATTCTCTTCACCCCCGTGGAAGATGGTCCGCGATGAGTAGCATGAAGACATTAGGGAGTTTGTTTTGTCCTCGCCGCGGGACACCGTCGACCGGCCAACTAAGTTAAAAGTAACGCCGTATTACTTTGGCCAGGACGACAGCCACCCCGGGTGGTCGTTTTCCTTCCGCTTTTCCACCCCCGCGGCACGGCTCAATGCGCACGGTCGCTACGCCAGCCTTCTGTTTGGCCATTTTCGCGCTCTGCAACTGCACACAGTGCAGACACAAACACCGGCGATAATAAACATTGATGGGACATCAGCGGCGAGAGGAGAGGATTCCTCTTCTTCTCAACAATGCCCGGACCCCTCTTCCCTCCGGTCCCCGCCTCTTTCTTTCTTTCTTTCTTTCTAGTTTTTTCTTTCCTTTTTCTTTTTTTTTTNTTTTTTTTTTTGCACTTCTTCTTTTGGCACTTCTTCGCTTTCCCCGAGGTGAGGCGAGACGTTTTCCACGGAACGAATCGTCGCTACGCTTGCGAATAATCGAACGAGAGTTTAGGAACCATCATTTGCCATAAAGACGGTTGGACGGGTCGGGGATGTTTTGGGGTACGAGAGGATTTTTTTATTCTTCTTGGCTTCTTCTCGATCGTGGATTCGTTCTTGAAACGTTTGCCTCGACGACGAATCCGACTATTTTTTTTTTTTTTTTTTCGTATTTAGACAGCGATGAGAGGTAGAGGAGAAGGGCCGATTCCTCCGATTGAATTAATCTTTTTTGCGAATGTCGGGTGTTGTCACGTCCTGTTTCGAGCCGGAGCATCGTCATTTCCTCGTCGATCGATCGGAAGAAGAAGAAGAAGAAGAAGAAGAAGAAAAAAATAATGGAAGAAACGAAAGTTGGCGATCTTTGATCATGCGTAAATTGTCGAGATACAGCCCTGGTTAAGGGAACGACTTAAAGCGAATCGCGTTATTTGCGCTCGTCGCTTGCTTAACCCGTTCGCGCTCCACTGGGCCGGGTCAGCTCTCGCGAACAAAATTTTCTTTCGGCCCTTTCATCCGTGAATTCGCGGGACAGAGAATCCGCACAGATTTCTTCTTTCCATTGTTCCTCGATGATTTCTTCTTGCGATGGTATTCCAAACTTTTACTAAATTTCAATGGAACGTTTTATAAATCTTTTCACACTTTGGATTCACTTTGTTTCTCTCTTCAATGTCCATTCTCGACGAGTAATTCGAAGAAAACAAATTCTAATTGAGTTTTATTCTCAAATGTATTTTTATTCTTTAATTAGGAAGTATACGTGTTTGTTCATCGATGCAAAGGGGTAAATTCCATCGTTTATACGATTATATTGTAAATATATCTATATCACATTTATTAAAAATTCATATCTTCAAAACTACTTTCGACCATCATTCGAAAATATTTCAAATTCTAAAAATTTTTCTTCCATTAAAAGATAGGATTATTACAGCATGTTCTCCATATCGAAAGACATTTCATCCATCGATAAAAATTCATCCAGTTTGCAAAAAACTTTTAAATATCATTCAAAAATTCTTCAAGCTTATAAAATAAAATTTGTATCAGCACAATCTCCATATTACAGGAGAATAAAATTCTATCCATCCTATAAAATTACTCTTAAATGTGAGCCAAAAATATTTCAAATCTTCATATTTACTCTCAGAAAAAATAAAGTATTGATAGCATAAATAATACGTATGAAAAGATACTTCATCCATCGATACAGAGAGGATTGGTCCAATAAATAAAAATTCATCCAATCTGCAAAATTATTTTTGAAAACTATTTATATCACGCATCAAACTTTATGCTTTCTAGAAGATAACATTGGTACTAAAAACTATTCTCTAAATATCAACCAAAAAATACTCTAAATCCTAACATTCTGTACAAATTTACTTTCATCAGAGGACATTTACAATTATATGAAAAACAAGCACTGACATCAAAAATGATCTGCATATAAAAGGGTTGAATATAAACCACTAAAATTCCATCCATCCTACCAAACTACCCTCGAATATCAATAAAAAAAATACTGTAAATCTTCATATTCTCTACAAATTTACTCCCATCAGAGGATATTTATAATTATATGAAAAGGGAGCATTGATACCAAAGATGATCTGTATATAAAAAGATTGATTATAAACCAATAAAATTGAAACTACCCTCGAATATCAATCAAAAAATACTGTAAATCCTTATATTCTCTACAAATTTACTTCTACAAGAGAATATTTACAATTATATGAAAAGGGAGCATTGATATCAAAGATGATCTGTATATAAAAGTGGTTTGGTTGATTATAAACCAATAAAATTGAAACTACCCTCGAATATCAATCAAAAAATACTGTAAACCCTCATATTCTCTACAAATTTATTCCCACCAGAGGATATTTATAATTATATGAAAAGGGAGAATTGATACCAAAGATGATTTGTATATAAAAGGGTTGATTATAAACCAATAAAATTGAAACTACCCTCGAATATCAATCAAAAAATACTGTAAACCCTAGTATTCTCTACAAATTTACTCTCACCAGAGGATACTCACGATAAGATGAAAAAGGAGCACTGGTAGCGAAGACAGCATGGTCTCCACAGTCCTCCCCCGTTGTCCTCCACCGGTGCGCCACTGGGCGTGCCATCAGGGGCGCGTCCACGGAAACGTTTCGAAGGCATGGATTGGTCGAGGATGGCTGAGAAACAGGTACGAAAGTGGCTCGAACACGTTTTGCTCGGTGTCGGGCAGGGAGCAGGCAGACTGGTGGTCGGGAAGCCGCACGGATTCCCCACCATCGGTTTCACCTTTGGGAAGGCCAGAATGGGAGTGGCCAAACGTTAGTTACCCCGGTGACGAGTAGTTGTCGAGACTAGTCAGGATCAGGGAACCGATCTGTCGAGGTCCAGCGCACACTTGTATCGTTCAAGGATCATCTCTGTGTTTCTTCGAGGAGACAGGTGTCTAGATGCAAGGAGAGAGCGGGGGATAGAGGAGCTGGATCTCGAGCGGATCGATCCTTGATCGACGTGGCGGAACCGGATACGTGTGTGCCTCTGGCTACGTACTCGTGCAAAGGGGGAAAAAAAAAAAAGAAAAGGAAAAAGGAAGAAAAAGGAAAGGAAGGGAAGAGAGGAAAGGACGACACGAGCACAAGAGTCGTGTAAGAGTACATGTTGAAATGAGCTGTATCGTTGGTCGATGTTCGATAAGGACTCGGTTCGGAGACAGTGATATATTCCGTATCGTGACGTAAACTGATTTTTTGGTGGAAGAGGCAGAAACGGTGGTGTGAGAGGGGCGTTTTGTGGCGGTTTTTTTTTTTTTGTGAAAGATAAACTGGTGGTGGCGCGAACGCGCTGAAATGACGGTGACCACTAACTTCTCGATGATGCGACCTTGTTTCACTGGATACCCGTTTCAAGGTAAGAGGAAAGGTCCGCGAGGAAAGTTCGTGGGAAAGAAGAAATTTATCTCGTTTAATTTTAGAAGTAATAATAATATTAAGAAATAGTTTACGAAGAAATTGGAGGGTGTCGGAAAGATCTTAGATAAGATTCGAGAAAGTATGAAGAAGAAAAAAGAGAAACGAGACAAAATGGTAAATTGTTATTGTGCAACAGTCAGCGGAGATTCATTGACAATTGAAACTTTACAAACGATCCTGATGGCAGAGAAAATCTCTCCCAGATTCGGTTAACTCGGATGCTGGGATGCTCCGTGAGATTTTAAACGTGGCATTGATATATAACCTTACCTGGACCAAAAAGACCGGAACATTATCATTAATGACCGTCATAAATAACGAAATATATTTTTTTGCGAAGGCCTCCTTGCCGTCGCTCTGCACTCGCTTCCACTCTTCTGCTTTTCGCATCTTTTGCCATTTTTTCCTTTGATATAAAAAAAAAATCTCGTGCTCCTAAGCAATATTTCTTAACAATATTCTCTCAACGATATCATCATCACGCTTCGAAGTATGCTTATTCTTCAATATTTATTTAAGAATCGAAGAACTCAAGAACCATGTCTAATAATAATAATAATAATAATAATAATAATAATAATAATAATAATAATAATAATAATAATAATAATAACAATAATAATAATAATAATAATAATAATAAAATTTGTTTAAAAATTTCGTTAGAAGATAGTTTTTATTTGAACGTCGATTATAAATCTTCTCGTGCTTATACGAGAGTATGAGGTAATTAGAAAGTCGCCCAAGATTCCCAGGAGATTTCTTCCTAGAGATCTTCCTAGAGATCTTCCTAGAGACCAGTTTAGAGAAATCGGAAAATGGGCCGTGTAATTGTCAAACTTGTCCCGGTATTATTTGCTTTCGTGGCCGGAAAATCGTCGAGAAACAGTTCTCCTTGAAACTTTCAAAGATCGTAGATCTTTCCTCCCTCGCTCGCAACAACGCTCGTCAATTTTCAATACCTTTCCGCTTACTCGACTTATTCGTTCTTACGTTCGATCAATCATTCGATTCCGCGCGAGAATCAAGAAAATCAATAATTAGAAATAACGATTCGAACGATTCGAACTCGAAGCAATTTAAAATCATCGTATCAAAATGTATTTCTAATAACGTTTATTAATTTATTAACGCTACATTTAAAAAAAAAAAAAAAAAAAAAAAAAAAAAAAAAGAAAAAGAAAAGAAAGAAAAAAATAAGGAAGAAAGAAAGAGAGATCAAATGCAAATGAAGAAGTTTTTGCATTCTTGTTTGTTGTTTTCCTGGATAGTAGCCGATCATTTATCACTGTCCAACATTACGCACGGTGTTTAATTGCATGCAACACGATTAGTCACCAAATCGCGGCACGTATGCAAAATGGTGGCGTTTAACAGTGGCGCGGAACGTGTAATTAAATATTCCTGGAAGATTGATAATGTTGCGGATGCGTTTTCGCAATTACCGACCACGTCCCGCCGATCGTTAATTATTTTTATAGAATGTTGAAATGTTGCAGCCGTGAGAAGTAATTAGCAATAACATTTGTTTCTCGGAAGTTGTGCTTCCTTTATTGAAAATTAATCGCGCGCATATGCTCGAAATGCTAATGTTAAAGTCGAGCTGAGAATATTTCCATCCATTTCTTCGATTTATTTATACCCGATTCCCGTTCCCCTTCGAGAAAACATTTGTCCCCTTCTCGCGCGAAATAAATAATAGTAATAAAGAAAAATTTGTAATTTTGATTTCAATATTGAAATAAACGAACAACTTGGGAAGGTTTAAAAATCGTTAAAGTTCGTGGAATTCGAATTTGAAGTTGGCAAGAATGAAAATTTAAGAAAACGCTTCGAGTTGAAAAAAACTCCTATCTCCGGAAAAAATTTCCTCTTGAATTTCAGTTTTTTCCTTTTTCTGTTTTTCTTTTTTTACCTAAAAAAAAAAAACGATCCTTTTTTCTTGAAATTACGATCCATAATCTATAATCTTTATCATTTAATAAGATTGATTCAATTGGCGAGACGATCAGTCACATTTTTTTCAATTGGACTTCTGCACTCACTCTTTCCCTCTACATTTTTTTCGGTTATCGGGCGCGTTGCATAGCGAGTTATGCAATCAATTGTGCGCAATCAAAACTGTCGTTCCGCTTTTTTCCACTCGCTCGCGATCATTTTTCTTCGCCTGGCTTCGTTACGAAGAGAAATATATTCGGTTTCGAGTATTGGTTCGCCTCTTCTTTCGTCTTGACCAGTAAAACGGGACATCGTGGGAAACTAGAAATAGATATTTTAAAAGTAACGTTGTTAAACGGTTTAAATTTTTTAGAGGATTTTTCCGGTTGGAAGGATTAGAGGCTGCGGTTTCTAGCCGCCATCCCCTCGAAAAACTCGCCAATTTCCAACGCCGTGGAAATAATCGAAAGCGAGAAAAATCGAGGACCTTTGTTTACTCGTAATTATAGGTTTCGCCTATGATCGCCTATCTCTTTCTACTTGTTCCCCCTCTTTTTCTTCTTTTCTTTCGATCCCAACGATCTTTCAAACGATTTTTACGATTCGATGCGAGTTAATTGGGAAGTCGATCGATCTTCTTTCTTTTTTGCTTTCTCTGGAATCGTCCTTCGTGATTCGTTAAGAGATAAATTCGTTAAAAGTCGCGCGCGGATAATGAAAAATTCTCCTCTCTGTGCGAGAGAGGAATAAAAATCGTGTGTGTCGCTAACGTGAGCTAACATCGTCGTCGGAAAAATAACGTAGAAATAACGTTCAAAGTGTCCACTCGAGCGTGTGAAGATTTTTTTTTTTTTTTTCAATTTTCAACTTCCCACTCGAGATAATTACGAAGTGAGTGGATCTCGGAATATTAAGCTACAGGCAGACAATAAAATAATTAGTTTTTGTAGGACGATGTCTCGCATCGGCGATCAGTGTGTGCGTCGCGTTGGCCAGCCTCTCGTTTTTCCTCTCGTTATACTGTGTCACACACAAAACTGTGACTCACATTCGTGCCAAGCAGCATACCTCTTGCTGCCTCGATTCGTGTTACCGTAATATTTAGATGAAATCTTATTTATACTTTAGAAACAAAGCCTCTGTTACATTCGAATTAACACGCGCGTTTTTTTAATTGTCGATTCAAGGCTTCAAATAGGGATAGAGAAACATTTTTTTTTTTTTCTCTTTTTTTCTTCTTCTTCTTCTTCTTCTTCTTCTTCTTCTTCTTTTTTTTGCAATAGATCTCGTATCGCGAAGCGATATTGGATTTAATCGGGTGAAGGATGAAACTTTGATTTCGAAATCTATACGCGTCCAATGATTCGTCCAAAGATTCGAATTGAAAAATTTAAATCGATCGATGGAATTACGGATTCGAAAGATAGATTCTTCCTAAAGAAATTTGAGATCTTTAAGATAACACAAGAGATAAACATCCTATCCATCCGTGTCCACAAACAACACGGAATAGAAATGTGAAATTTTGAAAACAACACGGAAATTGCTGAAGGAGCCGTAATAATCCGCTTCGCGTTTCAATTTCATCCCATTTCTTCCACCTCGATTCGTCACTTTTTCCACCCGATCATCTCATCAAAGGAGAATAAATTATTGTTCCGGACGACGAGTTATAGGCGCGGGTCGAGTAGAAAAGTAAAGAGAAATCGCGTTGTTTTCGATCACGATCGCGGGACGTAGATTACGGTGAATCACACAGGACAAATTACACGCTATCACATGTTGCTGCTGCACCCTTCGCGAACCCTTCAAATTCATTGGCTTTATCGTTATTTGCGCGATTGCCCGCCCCAGCCTACTGCAACTCCTCCGTCTTCGGCTTCCTCTCTCTTTTTTTTTTTTCCTCCTTCGCCTCATTCTTCCGCCCTGCCTCGATTCACAGGAATACACGGGAAGTAGAGTCGAAAACGACAGAACGATAGATCTAGAGTTTCTCTTCTTTTTATTCCGCAACCAGTTCCCTCCAAATGTTCGATCTTTCGACCGATCCTCCATTCGACGAATCGAAATTTAAAAAAGGCGACGAGAGATAGAGATAGATAGAGAAAGAGAAAGAGAGAGAAAGATATTTCGATCGAATAAAAATAAAAACGCGAACCTTTTCGATATTAGAGTGTTAATCTTGAAGAGAGAGTAAGAGAGAGAGGGAGAAATGTTTAACTTGACACGTTCTCTGTCGCAGATTTGGGATCGATACCAGGTCAAGGACGCGTCAATCAACTCGGTGGTGTGTTTATAAATGGAAGACCATTGCCTAATCATATTCGTCTAAAAATCGTGGAGATGGCAGCTGCTGGTGTTAGGCCTTGCGTTATCTCGAGGTAGAATTAACACAGGAATTATCACAACGAACCGATCCGATCCAAGTGAAAGAGAGAAATCCAGATATTTTCCATGGATTTTAATATCAGATTTCCCTCACCTCTCACATCACCGAACACAGTTTCTTCCCTTCCGTAAAATATTATTTTCTTTAACCGTGGCTCGTTGTTTCGAACAGACAACTGAGGGTGTCTCACGGATGCGTGTCGAAGATTCTGAATCGGTACCAAGAGACGGGGAGCATCAGGCCGGGTGTGATCGGCGGCAGCAAGCCCAGAGTCGCCACTCCTGAGGTGGAGGCACGGATCGAGGAGTACAAACGCGACAATCCAGGGATATTCTCGTGGGAGATACGGGACAGGCTGATCAAGGAGGGAATCTGCGACAGAACGAGCGCCCCAAGCGTCTCGGCGATCTCCAGGCTTCTGAGAGGCCGCGATCCCGAGGACGAGGCAAAACTTGGCGACGGTAAGTTTTCGCGCGTTTCGCTTCGTTCATCATTTCTTCCATCCCCATCATCGATCAATGAAATCCGTTCCGGGAAAATGTGCAAAATCGTTCGACGCTCTTCTCGATTTCTCTCAGCTAACTGCTTTTTGCAAAAGTAGTAATATTTCTTCGACGATAGGAGATAAGGAGAAGAAACGCGTGTTATTATTATATTTCTTTTTCTCGATCGTTTTGACAAAAATATTTTTTCGATCGTGGAGGGCACTTTCGAAGAGGCGCACCCCTTTTTATCTGCCCTGACCAAGATTGATGATCCAGATGAATCAGTGAATTAGCCTCTCGCAAATATTCAGCGTAACAGCGCCACCGTGCGAAATTATAACAACACCGGCTCGTAATTTGGTCCTCGAGGCCCTCGTTATACGTGGTCCCTCGAAATTGAATCGGGCGGGCCCTTTTTGCATTCCTTAATTTTCTTCGCGAGTAACAGGGACATTTATATTTTTCGCGTTTATCCAGGAACGCAAGTGGCCAGGAAACGCGGCGATCTCGAATATTTCGTAAAATTAACTGTTTTACGATCTTTTAAAAAAAGGATCGTGGTATCACTTTATTTATTTACGTTCATCTGTCCACATCCTCTTTTTCATTATCTTTCAATCATCCAAATAATTTTGAAACGGCATAAGTTTTTTTCAAATGGGTTGGTAAAATTTATTCGTTCCTTTTTTTTCCTTTTCTTTTTAATTTCCTTCTCATTATTTATACATAGATTTGAAAACAATACAATACATTAGGTTGAAATTTTTCATAAATTTATATATACCTTCCAAACTTTAAGACTCATCGTTACTTTTTCACCATGTACATTTTCTTTTTCAAATTTTACCTCTATCATAGTTTATTCGTATAATTTGAAAACAATAATTCGAAAAAATACCTTCGAAGAAAAATATAAATTCGAATCGCTTCTTACATTCATCATTAACTTTCCACAATAATAATGCATACTTTCCTTATTTTACCGCACGCTACGAAGGACGAAATTTATTCATTCCTCCCTCTCCCTCCCTCTCTCTCTCTCTCTTTCTCTCCCCCCTTTTTTTTCTTAATTCCTTCACTCACCTCGTTTTATCACACACACGAGAATTCGAAAACCCTGGAGGAAACGCCCAGTAGCGGAGAGGCAATTTGTCGAGCAAGTGGAACGCGATCCTTTCGAGGCGAGCACTCGCGTGCATGCGTGCATGCAACATTATCGCTCGTGTATCGGAGCTTATAAAATTTTCACGCCACCGTTTCGCGAAAAATTCGCCATTTTCTGTCCCTCGAAGGGGGGCGAAGGGGGGCTCGAACGTGGGGGGGCGAGGAAGGAAGGGAAGGGAAACGCGTGTGTCCGCGATAAAAGCGACCATTAAGGTAACAGCTTCCTGCGCAACGTAATATTCCAACCGGAGGGAAAATTACCAACGCAGGCAATTACCAAGGAGATCAAAAGTGGAGCTTAGCGAAGTAGTTCGCAGGTAATTCGCTCTCCGCTCTCCAACTTTCCTCCGGGGCTCTTTAATCATCAGCGGAAGACACTGAGAGGAAATAAAAATAGAAATAAAGACAAAAAGTGTTTCTTTCGTGGTCAAAACTATTTTTCCTTCTTTTATTTTTGCTCTTTGTTCTTTCTTCGATCGCGTGCACATTCTCAATTTGTTTGGAATAAATATTATAATAAGAATTTATATATAGCTTTTCTTCGAGAATTCACTTAACGATTCCAATTTTTTGATACAATTTTAATTTTGAATGTCTGTATGTACAGGGATATTATTGATATATTTCGGATTTGGAGCTTATGTTATCGATGCTTATGTTTATTAGGTTGCAAGCGATTTAAGTTCGAAAAACGAGATAAAATTTATTCTCGTTTAATAGCTACTAATTTTTGCGTTTTCTCGTTTTCGAATTCACTCTCCAAAGATAATCCACGAATACATCAACGTCTTATACGATTACTATAGCGTTACTATTGCGAAGGTCTTTTACTCGTTTCAAGTTATCAGTGGTACAAGTGGTCTTTTTATAGAGTGAAGGCTTTCGTGAGCGATCGTAGATACATGCTGGATCTGTAAACGAGTTACAAGTTTCAATTTGGGTTTTGTTGAATTATACATCGATAGCGTGAATCGCGCTCTTTCGTGTTTAGCGTCGTATCACGAATCTCACAATTTACGTTACAGGCAAGAAACAACAAGGAATTTTTAAACGGCTTTAGAATCAAAAAGTTTTCACAAAGTATCGCGCGACAATACTTTCTTCCGTTTTACGATTTATATTTTTCCACTTCAAGATCGATTCAAATTACGACCTTCGTTTCCTCCATTTCGCTCTACTCGATTCAAAAATCTTAAAAAAAAGATTATTCGTTCCCAAGAAGTCTTCTTCGATCTATAAAACGATCAAAGCGACAAATTGCGACACGCGTTAGACCAAGAATCGAGACTCTCCTCGCGAGTAAAAAAAACCTTGAAAAGGAGGATCATAACGACGAGTTACTTCCGCGATCATAAAGAAATCATTCTTCTTCAATCTGTTTCAAAGATAAAAAGTAAAAGAAAATAGGCACGAGTGGCTTAGAACTCGAAAGAAAGAATCGCAGAGCGACCGATTACTTTGCTGATTGTTGATTGGAAACTTCTCCATCTTCGTCTCAAGCATAAAGAGGAAAAGAAAACGGGTATAAGTGGCTCAAAATTCATTTGTAGTAACACAGAGAACAGGTGTTTTATTTTTAATTAACTTAAAAACTGAAAAAAAAAGTAAAAAGAAAGGGTTATTCCCATTTACATAGAAACACTTTTCTTATAAGTTAAGTATAAAGAGGAAAAGAAAACAGGTGTAAGTGATTCAAAATATACATTTGTAATATAACAATACCCAGAGAACGGATGAAAATCATCACAAAAAAAAAAAAAAATAAAAAGAAAGTTTCACAGTTACTTCCACTTACATAGAAACACTCTTCCTCGATCGACAAGTTAAATATAAAGAGGAAAAGAAAACAGGTGTAAGCGGTTCAAAATATACATTTGTAATATAACAACACACAGAGAACAGATGTAAATTACTTAAAACTTAAAAAAAAAGTAAAAAGAAAGGATTATTTCCATTTACATAGAAACACTCTTCTCCGATCGACAAGTTAAGTATAAAGAGGAAAAGAAAACAGGTGTAAGTGGTTCAAAATACATTTGTAATATAATAACACCCAAAGAACAAATGAAAATCGCAAAAAAAAAAAAAAAAGTAAAAAGAAAGTTTCACAGTTACTTCCATTTACATAGAAACATCCTCATCCTCGATCGACATATTAAGCGTAAAGAGGAAAAGAAAACAGGTGTAAATTGAAAATTCGTTTGTTGTAACAGCCGCGAACGAAGATCTCGACGAAGCTCGAAGCATCGAAGGATGGAACACGAAGAAAGATAGAATCGACACGCCCCATCACCTGGTCCAGACCACCTAGGGGATCTGCGCGCCTTCCTTCCTCTCTCTCTCTTTCTCTCTCTCTCTCTTTCTCTCTCTCTCTCTCTTTCTCTCTTTTTCCAAACGAATGAATGAATAAATTAAACGTGGTTGGCGCGTTTAATCAGCTCCCCGTTTCTCGATCTTTGAAATTACCGGTTAACGTTTTCGCCGACGCGTAGCAGCCGGTAGCAGCCGCGCTTCTCTGTAATTTCCACGCCGCCCGGTACATGCCCACGTGCACGTACGAAAGGTTTCGAATAGGCGGTGGTGAAGGAATCGGGTGAACGCGCTCCGATCCTTCGGCTTTTTTTCGGTTCACCTTGTAAGGTGAAGTTGAACGGTGCAACGGTGGGCCGACCGATCGTTCGAGCTCATTCAGATTTTTACTTTCGGCCAGATCGGGATTGGGAGAGGAGAGAGAGGGTTCGAGCTGGATGGATATATAGGTGTTTTGGGCCGGCAGAGATTGGAGATTAATAATCGAAACGAGTTTAACGATTTTTTTATTTTTGATGATGGTGGATGATGATGGTTCGAGGGAATTTGATGGAAAAGAAAATGGGAAATTTGGAGAATTTTAGGGATTCGAGAGATATTTGAAAGAAAGTTGGAATTTGATTTTTAAAAAATAATTGGAACAACGATTGGTTGGTGTTCGATTTGAAATTATACGCTATAATATATTTTTACTTTTGCAATTTTTCGATAAAGGGGAAGAGTGGAGAAAAATTTCTCACGAATCGAGGGGTTGTTTCGACTTTGGTTGGCGATAAGACAAATGAAAGTTTTTTTTACTACCGACGCAACGGTGGTCCATCGGTGGGGGTCATTCGAAAATGCATGCCGGCGAAGATGAAAGAGCAAAACGAGAAGAAACTGCTCGTAGATTTGTAAGTCGATCAGGCCGATGGTCGGGTGCCCTTTCAAAACAAAAAGAGGAGGGCAAAAACAACGTGTTACCACGGAGAGGGTGAGAAGCCTAAAAAGGCGCCGACCATTGAACGCTTGTACTTGTCAAACTGCTGTGAAAATACCGTTTCTTCGTTTTCTTTTTATAATCTTTAACCTATACGGAACTGGCATTAACGAGATTAACATTTCCCATAAACGATCAGAAAAATTAACGAGTCTAGAAATTTCCATTTCTCTATATAGATATTCGCCTCCAATTGAACGATATTTCCGAAAAAAGAAAAAAAATCTCCATGGAGAATTGTACGTTTTGCATCTCGGATCGTGTTCGTATTTCGTGGATAGATCGTTTTCCGTTGTAAAAGAGAAAATAGCGGGTGTCACGCGCTCGATCGAAGTTTTCTGGTCCACGAAAAAAAGAGAGAAAGGCTTGGAACGGCTACCTGGCAATTTTTCCCTTGGGGGTAATGCGAGGGTTCGAAAGTTTGGTAATTACTAGCCGCCAGTGGCCGCTTAGTCCCGATGAAAGATGTAATTTCTGTCGTGATTTTGCAAATTCGCCACGTTCGATTTCTACTCTTAAACGAAATGAACAGCCTACTCGGTGAGCGTCTTCTTCAAAGAATTCCGCTCATACGGAATCTTTCGCTCCGTTTTTCTGCATATCGATATACATCCAACTTCCAAAACCCATCGAGGTCTAAATTTCAAACGTTCCTTTCTCCATTGCATTCTCTATCTTCAAATCGCTTAATCTCATCGCGAAATTCTTCGAATCACCCCCTCTAAATTCCATATTCTCCATAATAAATCTTTCCCTCCTCTTTCCCCCACTCTCTTACATTTTTTTCTCCTTCCTTTCTTGCTTGCACATCTCCATCTCCATCTCTCCACATCGCAATTTCTATGTATCGGCCGCATATCTCTAACGATCTCGAACCAATTTCTCGAGTATAGGGAAGAGGTGGAAAGGGCGAAAAGGATAGAGAAAAATAAAAAAGAGAAAGAAGAAGAACGACGAGGTGGGAGAAACGGGGCGACGCTCGAGAGGGGAGAGGGGGAGGAAACGGTCCGTCCGGGAATAGAGTCCGTGTCGAATGGGCATGAGCACGGGGCGTCCCGGCGTCAGGCGTCGTCGGCCGATTAGTCGCGGCCCGTGTAAACCAAGTCGACAATTTCAAGACGCTCTCTCGCCGGAAGAAACGGCCACGTTCCTTTCCTTTCTTTTTCTTTTTTTTTCTTTTTTTTTTCTTTTTTTTTTTTACAACCGTGTCATCCGTGTCTCTCTGTGTCTTTCGCGGCCCCGCGATGATGAATCTACGATAATCTAAAAATGCGGCCGACGCGGGGACCTTCGTTTCTTCTTTCCTTTTTCTTTTTTTCTTTGTCTCCGACTTCCTCGAGAATAAAGGATAGGAAGTTTCACTTCTCGAGCGATTTTTGAAATATTTTTCTTTATCCGAGACGGTCGTGGAGAGAAGAGAATAAAGAGAACAATCTGAGTATTTTTTTAAGAGAAAGAAAAGGGAATAATTGATTAGCCTGAATTTTTAGTTTTCGAATGAATTTGATTTTCGAAAGTAAAAGTGGACAAGAATTGTATCCTTGTAGAACAGACAATTGAAAATAGAAGAAGAAATTTTGAAAGTGTCGCTTTGAGAAAGATTAAGATTAAGAAAGATTTAGATTTTAATTACTGGATTGTTCACAAGTGGATAAAAGGGAGAAATAATTTTATCGGAAAGAGAACGTAGCGAAGAAAAAAAAAAATTAATAAAAGTTACGGTGAAAGTAAAGCATTCTGGTAAAAGAAGAAGAAGAGGAAGAAGAAAGAAGGAAAAAGAAAGAATATCGAAGAATAAATAGATGGTTTGCACAAGAAAAGGTTGCACGGAAATTCATTAATATGAAACGGTACGTGTTGAAGTGGCGAGAAGGTCGAGCCGTTTGGTATACACTCGAGGCAAAACTCGTATCCTTATTATCAGTGCTCGTTCGACGATCGAAGGGAAAGGATCTTGGAACGTGTTTTTCTACTGTCATCAGTCATCAGTCATCACTCGTCACTTTTCTTGCTCGGTTGCTCGGGTGTCCTTGCGGTAAATCATATTTCTTGCAGCCGCTCGTGCCTCGCGGTCTATTTAATCCCTCGATCGCCGTTAATAATAATTCCACTCTCGAAACATCTTTGTCTATATCTCTACGTTACTATCAATAAATAAATAGATTTTTCCGCTCACCTTGAACAAATCTCTAATCGAATTTCTCGAGAGATTATCAGATCGATAATCGTATAGTCTGTTGGCGCGATCCAAAGTGTTTCAAGAAAATATGTATATATAGAAAAGAAAAGAAATTTCCTTTTATCGTATAAATAACTAAAATAACAATAAAATAGGAATGCATCCTCCTGCTATAAATTGTGATAAGAAATGTTCGAAGAATGGTTGGATCGTAAAATACAAGGAAATAAAATATGGTAGAGGGGTATAACGCGAAACAAGTCGATCGTGAAATCGAGTGTGAAACAAGCAGGAGAATGGGAATTGGAGTGCGGTTCCTTTTGAACTCTCGCACGGCAAAACAAACCATAAACCAGGACGTGCATTCACCTGCGGAGACGTGGTTGAGCAGGTGACACGTGCATGGGGGAATTAATAATTATTAGACGGGACTCCGTCATTTGCCTTCGCCTTATTCTCATACTTGCACTTATTCCTCTTTTTTTCTGCCTTTTACCCAGTTTCGTTTCACGTTTCGTGGCCCGAGCAGGACATTTTACGACGAAAATTACCTTGTACTACTACTACGCTGGATCACCGTTTAATATACCTACTGGTATAATACACGCCTCTCTAATTATCCCTTACCCCTCAAAGGAAATCAATTACATCTTAAGCGGAGTTTACGGTGCATAATTTCTACCTAATTTATTGCCTATCATTTTTATTTTTGTACCCTCCCACGTGAGTTATTGGAACGTTCCGATTACCGCGGAGTAGTAATTTTTTGTTCCTCTTCTTCTTCTTCTTCTTCTTCTTCTTCTTCTTTTCTCATACAACGATTAAAAAAAAAAAAAAAAGAAGAAATTATCGCGTACGCGTTTTCAATGACGAAAATTTTGGGAAAAATTTTCCGAGATGGATCCGGAAGATTCGTAAGAAGTAATCGTGTCGATTTTTCAATTTTTCAATCGAACGAATTCTTCTATGCTAACGACGAACGACGAAACGTAGGTTCCTCGTCATTTGCAGGTAAAACCAGTTCCGGATCCGATTGCGACAGCGAGCCCGGGATCCCGTTGAAGAGGAAACAGCGTAGAAGCAGAACCACGTTCACCGCTCACCAACTGGACGAATTGGAACGCGCTTTCGAGAGGACCCAATACCCGGACATCTACACGAGAGAGGAGTTGGCGCAGAGGACGAAATTAACCGAGGCGAGGATCCAAGTGTGGTTCAGCAATAGAAGAGCGAGGCTGAGAAAGCAGTTGTCTTCGACCACTTCCGGCGGTTACGTCAGCTCTGTCGCGTATCCCGCAGCTTCCTACGTCCTCCATCCCCCCGCCGCTCCCCATCCACACGCCGCCACCGCCGTTCCACCGAGTCATCCGCATCCTCATCCCCATGGACAGAGTCTGCCCGATACCACCTTCTCCTCGAGTCAAGGTAAGCAGGATTAATGTAACGTTTAATTCTTCCATTCGTCTCGTTTCATTCCGCTTTTTTTCCCATTTTATTGTCCAGCTAATGCTCGCTTCTCCGTCGGGAAGATCGAGAAGCGAGTTTATCTTGCGGAAAAAAAAAGGAAAAAATGTTAAAAATTGCCACGTAACGCTTTACCTAATGACGTACTTATGTAATTTTATATACGACGTAGCTGGATTCATTAGGAATCTAATGACGCCACAGATGTTGGTGTACGAAAGAGAAAGAGAGAGAGAGAGAGAGAAAGAGAGGGAAAAAAACATCAGAATAGAGAATCGTTTGCCGAGGTTTCGATACCTGTTTCTAATTAAGAACGCACGAGTTTTTCCTCGCGTCTACGATATATAATTTCTATCTGCCCACGTCCCACCCCTTACCATCCCCTTTCTCAATTATACAGATACTCGCGTGTAACTTAAATCCCTCTTGTTTCACCCTATCGAGATCCAAATCGATCTTCTTCTACCAGTTCCAGAACTGTACTCCTCGCACCACGGCACGATGTCCCACCAGCTGACGCCAGACTCGACCCGGCTCCCTTCATCCGTCGGCTCGACGCCGACTTACGGACTTCCGGCATCGGTGACCTATCCAAGCTCGCTGTTGCCGGCCACGTCGTCCACCAGCACCACCCACATGAACCACCAAGTGTCAGCAGCCGCTGCGGTGTCCTCGTCCACCTATCAACAGGCGAGCGGCCATCAACTTCCGCCAACCCCGAACTCACTGGTCACGATGATGGGCCCGAATTCAGGCAATTCGAACCCTGCCTCCGACCAACTCACCTCCACGGATCTGCCGATCAACAACTCAGTGTCCCCCGCATCCCAGCAACAGCAGCAGCAACAGCAAACTGGCCAACAAGGGGGGAGTTCGTCCCCGTCGTGGAATCTTCCCATTTCCGCAGGCGGAAGGGTTGGACTTCCGAGCCCCCCGCCGGCCCTTCAACAACCTCACGCGCACACCGCGCATCCCCATCAAGCTTTCGCGACCCATTACGGAGCACAAGGCTTCCAACAACCACCCAGACCTGCTCCCCATCAACCTTTCTACAGCTGGTACTGAGACCAGGTTAGGAATACCCGCAGAAGGAGAAATAACATAGTAAAATTAAGATAAAATTGAGACCAGTTTGGGAATATCCTCAGAAGGAGAAATAACACAGTAGAATCGAAATAAAACTGAGACCAGTTTGAAAATATCCTTAGAAAGAGAAATTACACAGTAGAATCGAGATAAAACTGAGATCAGTTTGGGAATACTCTCAGAAAGAGAAATGACACAGAGTTTGGGAATACCTTCAGAAAGAGAAATAAAACAGTAGAATCGAGATAAAACTGAGATCAGTTTGAAAATACCCTCAGAAAAAGAAATAGTACAGTAGAATCGGGATAAAACTGAGACCAGTTTGGAAATACCCTCAGAAAGAGAAATAACACAGTAGAATCGAGATAAAACTGAGATCAGTTTGGGAATACCTCAGAAAGAGAAATAACACAGAGTTTGGGAATACCTTCAGAAGAAGAAATAGTACAGTAGAATCGAGATAAAACTGAGATCAGTTTGAAAATACCCTCAGAAGAAGAAATAGTACAATAGAATTGAGATAAAATTGAGACCAGTTTGGAAATATCCTCAGAAAGAGAAATAATATAGTAGAATCGAAATAAAACTGAGTTTGGGAATACCCTCAGATAGAGAAATAACTCAGAGTTTGGGAATACCTTCAGAAAGAGAAATAAAACAGTAGAATCGAGATAAAACTGAGATCAGTTTGAAAATACCCTCAGAAGAAGAAATAGTACAATAGAATCGAGATAAAATTGAGACCAGTTTGGAAATACCCTCAGAAAGAGAAATAACACAGTAGAATCGAGATAAAACTGAGACCAGTTTGGAAATATCCTCAGAAAGAGAAATAATACAGTAGAATCGAGATAAAACTGAGACCAGTTTGGAAATACTTTCAGAAAGAGAAATAACACAGAGTTTGGGAATACCTTCAGAAGAAGAAATAGTACAGTAGAATCGAGATAAAACTGAGATCAGTTTGAAAATACCCTCAGAAAAAGAAATAGTACAATAGAATCGAAATAAAATTGAGACCAGTTTGGAAATACCCTCAGAAAGAGAAATAACACAGTAGAATCGAAATAAAACTGAGATCAGTTTGGGAATACTTTCAGAAAGAGAAATAACTCAGAGTTTGGGAATACCTTCAGAAAGAGAAATAATACAGTAGAATCGAGATAAAACTGAGATCAGTTTGGAAATACTTTCAGAAGGAGAAATAACACAGTAGAATCGAGATAACGTTGCTGGATGCTCTTCTAGGGTATAAACGTGATTAATTGAGAAAGAAATTGTATACGATAGACGTCATTAATTGAAGAAGAAATTGTTCAATTGTTCTTGATGATGAGTAACGTAGTTGTTTGTTGATCGAGTGAAAGTGCCTGATAAAACTTTTAGAAAACGATTACGATACGAACGAGTAGTATATATTCGGATCTTCTACAAGTGTGTTTAGAAATATTTAAATAAATCATAAGTATAAATGAAGAAAAGAAGGAAGAAAGGAAGGATTCTTTTTCGCTGTAAATAAAATTATTAAATAGGCATTATTTAATTGTTTAATTTTAGTAGCGAAATTGAAACGGAGAAAGATAAAAGACGTACAACTCTTTGATGACGGATCAAAGAATTACGGAATTGTGAAAGAAAAATTTCGTCCAAAATTGCACGAGCACAAATATTTGAAGTATTTCAATTATACGATAAAGGGAAAAAGTAGATAAAATAATTATGTAAAATAGGAAATTAGAATGAAAAAAAGATTAGACTATAAATTTTTTCGATGAAATAATTTGTTCTTTGGGGATAAATGAATCCAATCATTTATTTCTTTTTCTTTTATTTTTTTTAAAAAAGAAACGAAGCTACGATCGCTAGTAGACATCGAAAGACAGTTTGCGGGCGACTGTCTCGTAAATTCTTCTCTTGTAATTATTGTAAATCTTGCCTACTTGTATAAAAATAAATCTAACGTAGTTAGTTTATCGTCGGTTTTCGGGTTATCGTTTTAAGAGTCAATTATCATTTTACCCTAATGCGTATACAGTTCAACCAAAAATTGTATTTAATAGTGTAAATAAGTGGTAGTTCCTAGCCTTGCGATTACTACGAACTTTATTGGAAGAATTTTTTTTTTTCTCGTACGAGAAAAAGCGAGAAACCAACTAAATTGTTCATTGTTCAATGATTTTATTTCTTTAACATGAATGAATGCTAAGATGTGAATGAGGATAGAAGACTGATTGATGTTGTGAATGATATTTTGCGATAGGGAGAGAATTATCATTTAAATTTTTACCAAGTATTGCTGTAAAGTATTACTAAATCATATGTACAATATATTATTAAACGTATATGATATTTTGAAGAGAAAAATAAATAACTAAATAAATAATCTGTAGAAAATATAAACTGTGCTAAATGAATAAATAAATGAATAAATTTAATATTTTGTATGTAAAAGATGATAAAAACAAGGGAGGCAAATAGCAAGGCAAGGGATGGAGATAAGATAAAAATGAAGAAATTAGCGCCATCTTCAGAGTGCTGCAGATGAAGCAAATATTAACAAAGAGAGTAAACGGTGGGGAAAGGATAGAAATAGAGAGGAATTGATCGTCAGTGCCACCTATTAGATATCAAAGATATCATTTTTTTAAAAACAGAGTAAGAATTAAAAATCAGTACCATCTCTTGAATATTTTTGAAAAAATTTAATACCGTAAAAAATAAAATAGCAAAATATGAATAGACAAAAAATTTAGAAGATAAGATAAGGATAAGTATCGATAAGGATAAGTAAATATAGTAAAATGTGATCAAAAAATATATATATTTCGAAAATTCCATGAATTCGATGTCATTTCAAGAATTTTCTCAAAATCAACAATAAAAAATATAAATAAATATTGAAAATGTAAATAAACAAATCTTTATTTGTAAACGAATATAAATTTTAAGATGGGCCTAAAAATTTTTAGAAATTTTTAGAAATTCTAGAAATTTGACGTCATTTCTAAGAATTTCAGAAATTTCAGGAATTTGGCCTTATTTTCAAAAATTTTAGAAAAATTCCAAAAATTTGACATCATTTCCAAAAACTCTTCAAATCTTTCAATTGGAACATAGAATTGATATATGCGCGAAATTTTTCTTAGAATTTAATACTTACTTTTTATACTTATCTTTTTAGGTATTGTATTTACAAAAAAAAAAAAAAACATTTTTTCATTATTTTAATATTAATAAAATTTAACATACTTATTATTAATAAACTCAATCCTTTAATATATAATATAAAAATGTATAGATATATATTCTTATATAAATTAATTTGTTTTTTTTTAAATATTTTATAATTTTAATAGAATAGAAATATAAAAAATATATACATATGCCTGGAATATATTAATTGAGACACATTGATTAAAATATTTTTTTCTTTTCCAATGTTGAAAACATCAATTGCAAATCTAATCCTTTTCTCGCTCTTTTAATGTTTCTTTTCATATCAAATCATGTTTCGATTTTTTAATACTTTTTCACAACATTAAGAAATTTTTTATAACAAAAATTATAAAGAATTATTTTTTTTATCTTTTATAAATTTTTTTAAATGACATTTCGTTTAAAGTTATATTTTAAAATGGATCGAAACAAAGATAGAAAAAAAAAAGAGAGAAAAACGATAAAAGTAAACTATGAAAAGACAGTGTAAGGAAGGAAAACTCTTTGGATCATTTTAAAAAACTACTCACGTAATCTTTTAATATATTCTAGCTGTATACAAATGTAAGCAACTAGGTGGGAAAAGAAGATACAAATTTTTTTTTTTTTCCCTTCACACTCAGTTATTTCACCCTCTCGAAACCGATAAAATAATATTATATGTATACTTATATATATATGTATATACATATATGTATATATATATATATATATACGTATGTATAAGAGTTCGTCCATTTTTAATCTCGTCATCTCCTCGATTTATAATATTTAACAGCAAATATATATAACGTTTCTTTCAGCATCTCTTTTTCGACATTTTTCCCTTCAACTTTCTTTCTTTTCTTTTCGATATTTTGTATCGTTTCGCCTTCGCGAAGAACTCTTTCTTGGGGCGGCTTCCTTCACCCCTGGTGCAGCGAGAATGAGGTAAAATCGTAGGATAATACGTGGCAGGTGGATAGTGAGGCACACAAATACGTGTCAGCATAGTGAAAATATATAACAAACGTATTTTTACGTAATGTACGAAAACTTATATAGACACACAATGCGAATTCCTCGCTAATGGGACCATTGCCACCCCCACCATTTCCTGTTCCCACCACCGTATCACCCTTACGGAGAATTATCTCAATTTTCTTTTTTAATCGAATTTAGAATATTTATTCGATTTTACAGTATTTTTCTTCATCATAAAAATTAATATGTTATTTATTTGTTAACTTCTATTCGAATTATTGATATGGTTTGTGTTTGAAAATTATTCACCACGATAAAGGAAATTGGAATAATTGATGATAAATTTCTATTAACCTTCCGTGGTATCTTTTTATATTTACACGAAATATTTTCAACATTATAAACTCTGAAAAATTCTGAAGAAAAATAAAAAATTATTTATCGAAATTATTAAATATAAATTGTTTAAAATATAATAGATATCACGAAAGATTTTTATAAAACTAAATTAAATAAAACGAAAATTTGGTTCGATGATTACAAAAAAAATAAAATAGACGATACAATTTGTTGAATGCGAACATTTTTATTGAGCTACGCTGTAAAAAATTCGAGGCGATATCTTCTTTCAAGCGAATGCTCTCATTCTTCGTAATTCTCCTGTCTTTTTTGTTTATTTTTTTTTTTTTTTTCATTTTTTCAAATATTTTATCTTCGTTTTGTATTCCATTAAATTTGTTTCTCGACGGTGGGGGGATGGGGGATAAGAATAAAGACACTCGTGTAATTTTATTTTAATCTCGGAGGGTGCTCGGTGAAGAGCAGGAATTGATTTAGGGGGTGGTACAAAAATCTTATCTTCTCTCTCACACGTTCTTTCTCACTACATCATCTCTCATACTTCATTCTTTCTCTCTCTCTCTCTCACTCTCTTTCTTTCTCTCTTTTTATTTTTTATTCACTTTCACCCTTCGCGCTCACACGTACTCCTTTCACCCCTCGCTTTTTCTCCTCATCTTCATTCACTCGAAACTTTCTCGCTCTCTCTCACGAACAAATTCTCCTTTTTTTTTTTTTTTTTTTTTTTTTTAATCCTCTTGTTACGTGTTACAAATCAGTGCGCTCACCGTTATAATCGATACGATCCAAGATTATGTCATATATATATGCATATATATACATATATATATATACAGAACAATCTTAAATTGCATAATCTGGGAAAAAACGCGAGTAAATTCATCTACCGCGGATAGGATTTCATCTCTCACTCTCTCTTTCTCTCTCTCTCTCTCTCTCTCTCTCTTTCTTTCTCTCTATCTAAATCCATCCTTCTGCTTAATTTTATTTCCGCGTTTAATTCTCTTATCCTTTTTACAAACGAAATATAACGCATACTCGCGACGAGTGTTCCTCGAATTGTCTTCTCTCGAGTTTCTCATCCATCGTTTATTTTCTCTCCTCCTCCTATTTTTTTTTTTTTTAATATCCGTTGCGAGTAAATTACTCGATACACGTGTCAATGTCCCATTTGAAATAACACTTATCGCTAAATTATTGCAAAACTGGCGCGGATAGGTTAATTAAATTATTGCCGATCTCTCAGCTCGTATTCACGTACGATTATTACTTTTCTTTTTTTCTTCATCTTCTTCTTTTTAACCCTGTCATTCCCCGTCGTTTGAATTATTTAACAGCCATTTAGACATTTACTATGCAATTTTTTTTTTTCTGCCCGGCAATTTACACGGCAAACAAGCGAATTAGAAACTGTGTAATAGTTTATCGAGTGGAATAAAATTTATCTATTTAATATATTCTATTAATGATTAACTTTTCGGGATAAACATTTTACTTCGTATAATTCTAAATTACGTAAAGATTTACCAAAGGGAACGAGAGGGTTAACCGAATTGAATCATCAAAATTGGATGAACGATTAAATTCCACTTTACGAATCCCCACCCCCCCTCCCTCCCTTAATTAAAACAAACTTGGAAATTACAAATTTATATCAAGGAATATACGCACGATATTATCTAACAATGAATATATACTTTCAACAATGTTTACAAAAACCCTCCCACGGAGTCTCAGAATTACTCAAGAAGTGTCTTCAACCCTCTGCGATCGATCCTCGAGTAATCTACCCTCGAACGTGACCCTCGAGAGACAGAAAAAATGAAAAAAGAAAAAAAAAAAAATTCCAATTTCGCAATTGGAATTTTTTGTCGAAATCATCGATCGAGGAACACCCTTTGACGGAATCCCGTCGCACAGCCTGTCGTCGTGTCGATCCTGGCACGGATCCTATCTCGAACAAAGATCCTTCCCGTCTCGATCCCTTCCCTACCCCTTTTTCTCTCGCCCCATTTATTCTATCTCTCTCCCTCTCTCGGTCGGCCGCGGTAGAATTCAAAAGCGAGAGGCAGCTTCGATTAAAGAAAAAAAAAAAAACGAATATACTTTTACAATACGCATTCGCATACGAATTATAATTATATCGATCGATGACTCGGTGTGTACGTGTCGATCCTTTTTTTTTTCTTTTTCTTTCTTTTTTTTTTTCCTTTTTTTTTTCTTTTTTACGTATGTGTGTGTGATTGCGCGCGTGTCGATCCAGCGATTTATCCTTGAATACGAATACAATAGTCGAGAGTGAAAATTGTTAATTAGTCGAGAAGGACGTTCGTGCGAGGGGAAGGGGGTTGCAGGAGAATAAGAAAGAAAGAAAGAAAGAAAGAAGTTCGAGGGGAGAAAAAGATCGACGGAGGACGAAGTGAGGGTGGTAAGATTCGAGTAAGTCTCTGGAGGAAGTTGGCTCAGAGAGGATTGATCTCGAAATTTTGATGTTTTTGAAACTCGAGATGGAATTAGAGTCGGTGGATTTTGAAGAAATTTGAAGTGTACTTCGAATTCTAGTTTGGGAGGGTTTCTCGTTGATCGTTGGGGAAGTTTCATATTTGATTTGATCGTTCGTTCAAAAGTTTGTAACACAAGTTTTCCCTCTTTCTCTGTTTCTTGTTCTTATCGTCGTTAGATTGCGTTAGGATAGAAACGTTGCAAACTTCTTTCCTGGAATCGATGGGATTCCATGTAAATTTTGTTCGATACTTCCTTTTAATTTGAAAAATTGAGAAGTTTAAGTAACGTTCGAACAGATGTTAACACTTTAAAAGCGAAAACTTGCGTTGAAAACTTTCTGTCGGAAGGTGAAGTATATTTTTCTTCTTATTTTTTTTTTTGCTTCTCTCGATTTTGATATTCTTGCGGTCAGAAAAAAAGAGCGGATCTCTGATGTGAATCGCGTTTTTTTTTTTTTTTTGCATTGAATCGATCTTCCACTGAACAATTGCAGTCGTCTTTTTTTTTTTCTTTTCTTTTTTCCTTCGAAATTCTTCATCTATCAGTTATTCAACATAGAAAAGAGTTCAAATCCCGTCAAACACTTAACAAAGTTACGCGTCGTCGAATATATTTCTCTCGGGGAAACGAATAAATGCATCTTTCGCGAGTAAAAAATTTTCAAATTTACAACGCTTTTACGTTTCGATTCGTCGAAGATGTATTCGAATTATGTCGATGGTTATTTATTATTCACTCGTGTTTATCCTAAAAAATCTTCGCAAAAATTCGATGTTCAAAAGGATGTACGAAGTTTGAATCTGAAATTATTAATCAATAATTATCGCGAAATTATCCTCCAAAGGGAATGATGCAATGGACGTCTTTTGGTATCCGGCTCTTTTCTTTTCTCTATCGTTTTTCTTTTTTTTTCTTTCAACTCAACGCGGAAATGAATATATCATTTCTCGATGGGGGAGGGAAAAAAAAAAAAAAAAAAAAAAAGAAATACTAAAAGAAATACTAAGAGCTCTCGTCTCGCATCTTCACGTAGATTGGTTCGCGTAGATTTCGAGAACAGCAGTGACTCGATTTATCGAAATATCGTCGGATATGTTATACTTTTTAACGACTGATAAAGAAAAATCGGATCTAAGAAACATAAGAGAATTTTTTACTGTTTTTTTCTCTTCATTCTTGGACAGATACATTGATCAACGATTTGAAAATGAACAGGTAATGTAGACACTTTCGACGTTTGACAAGCTGATTCCTTAGAAATAAAAATTCTATTTATCGTTGTGCATTCATCGTTCATCACACTTGGATTAAAATTAAGCGTCGTTTCTTCGATTTCGAAATCATTCGAAATGAAATAATTAATCTTTTCGAATAAACTTTTCCATCTCTCGTCGCAGAACGATTTTCAGAATCATTGAATCGTCGCGAAAACGTTGGAAACAATTTTCATCGATTTTGTTTAAAGAAAAAAAAAAAAAAAAAAAAAAAAAAAAAAAAANAAAAAAAAAAAAAAAAAAAAAAGAAAAGATTTGTAACGAATGTTCACTGAAAGAAATATTAATATTAATTTTAGAAACGAATAAAAGTTATTGTTTTTGTTTTTTTCTCTCTCTCTTTTTGTGATCACTGTTGTCCTCTTTTTTTGGACCATGTTCTGAACATCCATTATTCTTTTTTATTTTTTTTTTTCCTTTTTTTTTTTTTTTTTTTTTTCTATAAAGAACAATAAATCCGCATTCGTTTCGCCGTGTACCTAAGTGCGAAAATCCACGTGTGCTGCGTGTACTACTGGTAATAATCAAAGATAATTGCTATTTGTAATTAAAAAGCTGCTTCTCTTTAGCGCTGCGCCGCTGCTCCTCTCTCGTTACAAAGTAACTCTACGATTTCATTTAATCGTTACATCGAATGTATCGGTATCATTTACAGCCTAAAATACTGAGCAAAGAACGAATCCATGATCGATGATTCTCGATCGGGCAAAACTTCTTTCTTTTCATCCCTTCGTCTTTTCTTCCTTTCCACACTTGTCCCTTCTATTACGACCTTCTATTTTCTCCTTTTTTTAAATTTACATACATTTCGTTCATTTCTATTATAACTCGTTTCGATCGACAACAAAGAAAGTTTCAATCTTCGATTTTTCATTCTTCAAAGTGATATGTGAATTATTAATTTCCAAATTATTGTCAAGAATTTCTTTTCTTTTTTTTTTTTTTTCTTTTAACAATCGTGTTGAACCTCGACATTCTCTCACTGGCAAAATAATAATAATAATAATATCTTAAAGTGAAGAAAGGAAGGGAAGAAAAATTTTCTCTTCCGTTGTCAGCTCGCTCTCAGAAGAAAACGGATTATCGTATAAGAAAGAACGATCGAGAATCATCGATCATCGCTTTCCACCCTTATCATTGCGTGATAAATCGCCGAACGGGGGTGAAAAAAAGTAAACACTCGGGAGGTCGAGAACGAAAAGTGAGGAAGAGAAACCAACGTACGCTTAGAAGTTATCAATTAATTCGATATCAATATATCTTGTAAAAAATTTTTTTTCTTTTTTTTTACAACGTGTATACGCATACACACGGCACTAGTGTATATACGTACACGAGCAAATGTACGTATAACATGTATATACACATATATATACCGTTATTGCGCAGGCAATTGTTGTTTCTTTCTCTTGTTCTTTTCTTTCTTTCTTTCTTTCTTTCTTTCTTTCTTTTTTTTTTCGTTTCTTTTTGTCAACCATTTTCATATCGTCGGTATTTTCTATAATTTTATCTTCACCTCCTCCCCATCGCGCTTGCGTTTCTTCCCTACTTTATGGCAATAATAATATAATAATATAATATAATAATAATAATAACAATAATAATAATAATCGTAAGAATGATCATAATAATAATAGAATATTAGTAATTATCTAAATTCTCTCTCATATTAATAATTTTCCCCATTTTCTCGCTTGTCCCATATTTTCTCGTCAAAATTTCCTTTTATATATATTTATTTATTAATTTGTTTCTTTTTTTTCTTTTTTTCTTTTTTTTTTTTTTTTTTTTGGTTGTCTGTATAAAGGACATTGCAGTTTTATTCGGTATAGGTGGCACTCAGAATTGTATTTCTATTAGTTTCCTTTTCTTTGTTCTTTCATACCTAATTCGTTCGTCATCGATCTTTTCATTCAGCCCTTACTTTTTTTTTCAATTTTTAACACGTACGATATCTCTCATGAGTTCTTCTTTTTTTTTTATTTCCTCTTTTCTTGTAAGTAATAAAAAAAGAAAAGAAAGTGCTCTCAATCGAAAACGAGCTATAATACGAGTTGTTTCCTGACGCGATCGTCCGAATTCCCAAAAATTTAACAAACTCACCACGAGCCGCCTCCTATTTCGATTTCAACTTTCGTCCTTCAGTTTGCTCCATTTTTTCTCATTTTTTCTCCCCCCCCTTTTTTTTAAATTTCTCTTTCTTTTAATCCCGCGAACATCGATCTTCTGCCCTTCCATCTCGTACTTCCGTTTTATTTTATTTTATTTCCCTTTCATTATTAATTCCCCTCGCTCTCCTTTGTTATCTCCATATATAATAAATTTTCCTCTTTCATCGTTTCATTTTTCTCTCCTTTCTACACGATATTAAGTAACGAAAGAAAGCTTTCCACGTGCGAAACAAAAAAGCATCGCCATCGAAGGGAGAATACGTACGTGTGTGTGTGTGTGTATGTATACGTATCCATGTATCTGTGTGTGTTTTTGAATTCGATTAAAAAAAATTGCTCCAAAGAAAAAAATAGAAACTTTGAATGCAAAGTCGATATTACCGCGATTGGATTAACTCTATGTGTGTGTGTGTGTGTGTGTGTGTAAATGTATGTCGCGAAAAAACGCATTGTCCGTGTAACACGCGTGTATATACGCGTCACGTGTTTGTACATGCGTGTATATGTATACAACATTTTGAAAACGCCGCTCGTGCTCTCTGTTCTCTCGCTCTTCTCCTCCTCCTCCTCCTCCTCCTCCGTACGTCTTTCCGCCTCTTCGAAACATCTCTCGATCTCTCCGCGATCGATATCGCTGCCGATCGCCCGCCGATCGATATTCTCTTTAACGATCCTACTCGAAACCCGATTCAAAGAGAAAATAGGGACTTGCTTGCTCGGTGGAGACAATCGATACAGATAATAATCATTCGTAGAAAAAGACTGGTAAACGAAAACTCGGGTGAAAAAGAAAGAAAAAAAAAAAAAAAAAAAAAAAAAGATTGTGCTTTACGTCGAAAAATTACGAATTTTGATCGTCGTTGATGACCTCCCAACGCACGCGATTTTGTACCATTCGCAGCGGTGCGATAAAAAATATATTTTGGGAAATATAGGGGGCGAGCCACTCTCTCACGAACATTCGTGAAACGAATATTCCAGAGATCGAGATGTGAGAAATAAGCGTAAAATAAGCGAGGGAGGGAGGAGAGGGGGGAGAAAAAGGAAAAATCTTTCTCTTCGTAATAATACATCTCGGTTTCCCCCTCCCTCGAGAAGATGAAGCGAAGAAAAAAAAAAAAAAAAAGAGAGAGAACGAAGTTCGACCGAGGGATCGATACCAAAGGGATCAAGGAGGGATCAATCTCGAAGAGAAAATCGATCAGGGGCCGGGTTGGTGTCGTTCAATCCTGGCGCCACGTTCGTCACATCCTCCAAGAGGGAACGGAGGGAGTCCACAGCCATCCGAATGATCGTTGGTATCAACGCCGATGTCAAACGCCTACGGCTACGCGTCGCGTTTCAGTCGCAAGTCTGAAGTCGATTTCAATTGGTTCGAAAAGGAAGGGTGGGTGGGGTGGGGTGGGGGAGGGGGAGGGAACGTTGGCCTTAACTGACGTGATCCTGGTCGAGTTCGTCCAACGATTCCAGTCTCGCGATCGGCGCCTCGTTTATCGTGAACTCCCAGGAGATGTCCTCGCTCGCCTGCCTCGAGGACTCTTGCCGCTGCCCCTGGCTTGCCTCGTCCCGGCCTGGTTGCCTGCTCTCCGAGCGTTGAGCGGCGCCAAGCTCGCTCGAACCGCGATGATTCGTCGGCTCCTTCCGGGACTCGCTGCTTCGAGGGCGCTGGCTACCCCCTCGATCCGACACGGACACCACGCAGCTCCACGGATCCTCCCCCTCCGGCTCTGATCGCTTGTTGAACGAGCTGTACCTGGTTCGACCGAAATATTTCATGTTAATCCACTTCTGTCCGATAAACGAGTATAATTGATTGTGCAATTAGAATGGAGTAGTAATGCGAGGTTATTTTTTTATTAGAAAGTAGGGGAAAGGTATTTATTTATCGAGAGGCAAAAGTAGAATAAAAGATAATTAATTAAGATTATGGAGTAATTGGAATAACGCAATCATAATTGTCATAAAGTTTATTAAACTTTATTAGAGTTTTACACTATAGCTACTTGCGATTATTATTATCACATTTTCGAATAATTTATAACCGAATCCGACGCCGATCATTTTATTACCCGGACGAAGAAAAATGGAATATCATGATCAGATTATAGAAAACAGTCGTAGATAGAATAGTACGCGATAGTAAGTAACATATATTATCGAATAAAAGAGAAATGAAACGAGACGAATGTGATAGGAATTAAATAGTGTTTTACATTTCCCTCATCGAAAAAGAAAGAAGTTTGAAACACTCAACGTACCCGCTCCTGAAATAACTAATTAAAAATTTGGAATAAAACTACTTTATCAAAACTCCTGAATAACATTTATTAATTATTAATAATTGATACAGCCTTTCGTACCTCCTCGATCATTATCCCGTTTCTGAACAATAAATTATCAACTTTGTCAACCTTATCAACTGAATCCAACAAGTGTACGCCGACCGTTTTATTCATCCAAACGAAGATTATAGAAAAGAATCGTAACCGGATAAGTGGAATAATAGCAAGTAGCATAGATCGACGATTGAATGAAACAGAGAAAGGAAAAGAAGGACGAATAACCGCGTGCTTTACGTATTCTTCCCCTCGTCAAAGAAAGAGAGGGGAAAGAAAAAGATTTGGAATAATCGGCGTTATTACCCGCTCCTGAACTCTCCCCTCCTGAATGCGGCGGGTTGACTGTGCCACGCGTGCGGCAGATGCGGCTGTTGCGAGGGGGGCGGCACGGCCAGGTCGACGGGTTGGCTCTGGGACCTCGTGGGCGCCGTTCTCCCGTTCAACGCCGTTTGCAAGGCCGTGGCCAGGGCGGACGTGTCCGACGTGACCGTCAATCGCGACGTTCCCGAGGACGTCGACATTGGCTCTTTCGTTGGGGGTCTGCTGCAGATGGGAAATGAAACGAAACGGGGGAGGGGGAATTAATCGATTTTCGATCGGTCGGTCGATAAGCGGCCGCTACGAGTAGCAGCGTATATATAATATACTTGAAGCATATGTGATATATGTACAAGGGGATTACGGTTAGGCCTCTAATTCGTCTAAAGTGTCCCGAACAGTGTCGCAAGTCTGGTCTGATTGGGACTCCTATCACTGAATCGCGTTCGAAGTCTGACATCGACATTGTTTCGTTTATATACTTCTACGGAATATGTGTGAATGTGTGTCTGTGTGTGTGTGTGTGTGTATCTATGCGTGTCTGATATGCTTGTAATTCCTTGGTACGCTTCTTTTTTCTTTTTTAAAGGGATTTTATATATAAGACGCTTATATATAAGACTTGAGATCGAGTGCTAAGACGTATATATAATATATATATATGGTAGAATCTCGATAGTTCTTAAGGAATAGAGTAATTGAAATTTCGATTCGATTGGATTCGTGAAAAGAGACTTGTTGTGGACTCGACGATTTTAGACGTTTAGTTTAGATAGAAATGTAAAGATTAATTGAATTATTGTTTAATTTGGAATTATCGTCTTTTCTTTTTTTCTTTGCTTACGAAAAAGATCTTGGGATATTTTTAACAAGTGGTTATTTTTTAAGATCGATTTATTGTTATTTCGATTTTTATACTATCGAGACTGTACTGCATTCTTCTAAAACGAAACTAGCAAAACATACGTATGCTTGTGCACTAATGAAAACTTATGTCCTACGTAGTGGCGATTCATACTCGCGGGAATCAGCTACAAATTCAATCTCTTACCTCTGTCCATAGTGATGAGATATTTTAAGTTGCTACGAGGGGAAGTTTTGTTAAGGTGTGTAAAGAGTGAGTATTGTCGTGTTTTCGTTGGACAATTGAATGAAAAGTTAAAACATTTTTCTGCGAAAAAGAAAGAATTTCTAGAATGTTAACAGTATCGATAATTAAAAAATACTTTACGTGAATTTTCTCTCTAAACGTGCCTTTTCAATATTATTAATTTTTTCTTTTTTCAATATCAATTTGTGTGTTCTATTTGCGCGTTAAAAAAAAAAACAAGAAAAAAATATCTCCTTTTAGAAATTTTCCTTTAAATTATTCTATATTAAATTATTCTATATACATATACATATATATATGGTAAGTATATATAAAAAAATCGTGAAGGATTGTATACGAGTCGAGAAAACAAGTGGCTTGAAAGTGGCTAATTTGAATTTCCCGCATATTATTCATCGTTTTATTCAAGCTTCGAAAACGTGCTACGTCGCAGAACAAATTAAATCATCTACACACGCGTTGCACGAGAAATGCTCGATCGATATTATAACTAATAACGTGGAAATAGAAGAAAAAAAGAAAAAGAAAAAAAAAGAAAGAAATTCACACAGCAAATTACTTGAACAAGAGTATACAGATCAATGTGTAAACTAACGAAAGATCTAGCGCTAAAAGAAGAAGAAAATCGTTCTACAAATACCTGAAAATGATTCTCGAATAAATGTCGATGTCAATTGTTCGCTCTATTCGATGCAAAGATTAAGAAAAGAAAAAAAAAAAGAAAAGAGGGACAAAGATTAAGGAGAGAGAGAGAGAGAGAAAGAGAGAAAGAGAAAGAGAAAGAGAGAGAGAGAGAGAGAGAGAGAGAGAGAAAGAAATGATTCATATTGGAAATGTACTTACAACGTGAGAGAAAATTAACTGGCAATAATTTGAGTACGCAGGAAACTAATAGCGTTAATTTTACGCAAATTTATTTTTTCTTTTTTTTTTTTTAACTTTTTGCGATTAATGCACAATACTCCTGCCTTGTTTCTACTTGCGCGACACTGCTCGCAAAAAAAGGGTTTCAAAGAAGAGTATGAGAGAGTATGGTCACCTTCGGAACTTGTCCAACCTTTCCAAAATAAAAGACGCCGAAATCAAATGCAACTGATCCAGGGATTTCGAAAGAAAGCTTTTCACAAGAATAAAAACATCGATTACTTCCTAGGAAGAAACTAGAAATAATTCTCTACTTTGAAGAAGAAGAAGAAGAAGAAGAAGAAGAAGAAGAAGAAGAAGAAGAAGAAGAAGAAGATGATGATGATGATGATGAAGAAGATGAAGATGAAGAAGAAGAAGAAAAAAGAAGAAAAAAGAAAAAAAAAGTAATAAAGAAGAGATGCAATGATTTCAACGGAACACGCGTTTGTCTACGTTTCCCGAAAGCGGTACCGCGATTTCAAACGGATCTCCGACCGTGTCGATTTGAATAGAAAGAAAGAGAAAAAAGGAAACGCGCGTATACATATACATATATACATATATGTATATATAAAGAGAGAGAGAAAAAGAGACAGAGAGAGAAAGAGAGAAAGATAGAGAAAGAGAGAGAGAGAGAGAGAGAGAGAGTATGAGACACAAAAGAGAAATAAAACAGAGAAAGTAAAGACACATGTTACATCTGCTATGACAAACAGACTAAGAGGCATGGTAACGCGTGAAAAAGATGTCCCATTTCAATTTCAACTTCAAAGAAAAGAAACTGAACGAAGCAAACTACGTTCTCATAGATATCGAGTCGAAAAAGGGAAAGCAATTTTTTTTTTTTTTTTTTCTTCCTCTCAATTTCAAAGACCAGATTATTCGTTTTTCGCTTGAAATTGCTTTCTCCTTTCCCCCTCCCCCTCCCGCCCTCTTTTTCCCCCTTAATCATTATCAAATCCAAAATCCCTTTGACACGTTACCACGTTGAACGAGAGAGAATTTTTCAAATTCACCACAGTGAGGAAATCACGGTGAGCAAACTCACCTGAACAAACCGTGGGACGTGCTAGGCTGGATCTTTCCATTTCCGTTACTCGACGGAGGGCCGGTAGGCGGTTGAGGTTCGCTGGCCGATCGTTGGACCAAAGCCGGTGCTCTACTACTCTTGGACAGACCGACCGAGGTCGGCCCGGCCATCATCTCGATGCTCGAACTCTCCCTCGACGAGTTGAGCGTCTGTTGGAGCAGCGTCAATATCAACCTGATGTTCTCCCCCATCGAGTGCTCCAACGAGGACACTTGCCGGGACAGTTGGTCTATTCTAGCGTTTATCTCTTCCACGGGTCGGCCCGGTCCACTTTGAAAGTCGCCTAGAAGTGAGAAGAGAGAGGGAGGGGGGAGAAAAAAAAAAGAAAAAAAAAAGAAAAAGGAGAGAAAGATTAAATACAATAATAAAAATCTGTTCGAAATTCACTTCGAGCGAAATTAAAAATTTTCTAATCTGACTCGATATCGGCTCGGCTATTTCGGAGTTTATTATTATCCTCCTCCCGTGGTATTACCTACTTCTCGCTTTCGATTTTACGCTTTTCACATCTTTTTTTATCCCTCTCTATCTGATTTCTCTTTTCTACACAATTTGTGACACAATTTGTCAACAATCGAATTCGTCGAAAGAAATTTAAGAAAGAGAAAAATAAAAGAAAGAAAGGAAGAGAAACAAAACGCAAACAAATGGTTGACGAGCAAAGGAGATCGAGCGATGGAAGAAGAAGAAGAAGAAGAAATGGGGGGTGGGGGTGTGCAGTGGGCGGAGGGAAGGGAGGGAGGGAGGGGGGCACATAAACGCGATTTCACGCACCGTGAGTCTGGGGATGCTGAGGTGGCGACGGTGTAGTGTAGTGACTGGATGTCGTCGAGGTCGGATGTACCGCGTTCTGGCTGAGGCAGCTTTCACCAGCGGCTGAGCTTCTCCTCGCTGGTTTCGTCAACGGCGTGGTCACTGGATAAACCCAGGCACAGTAATCAGTACCACGATCCACGGGGAAGTAGCACGAGCCTTCCTACCCTCTAAAAGTGCCTCTTATCTCCAAGAAAAAAAGGGGGACGAGGAGAGAGAGAGAAAGAGAGAGAAAGAAAGAGAGAGAAAGAGAGGGAAAGAAAGAGAGAGCGAGATATATAGATAGAAAAGAGATCAAGAGAAAGAGAATGGCAGAGCGAGAAAACGAGAGGTAAATTGAGAGACAGAGAGAAAGAGAAAGAGGTCGAAATATACTTTCGTATATGAATATGTATCCAAAGGGGAGGGCGAGGGGGAAGGGCGGGGCTGTTAACGATCGTGCCGTTTTCTCGAGCATAAGGTAGATGAGTTTATGCGAGAGACATCGCATGTAAATATGTTTGCTCGTTGCGACGAATATAGAAAAGTTGGCCAGATCTACTTGCGCCAAATGGGATACTTACTCTGCTTGGCAAGGTAATCGTGACTCGTCAGTGGTTGAAGATGGATCTTGTGTTGGCGTAGGTCCGGTATGCTGCGCTTGAGATGGGTTAGCATGCCTGAACAACCAGGTTTCAAGGTGTTAACGAACTCGGGAGTCAAATGCAAACGCAAAGCTTAAAAATGCTGCACGCTTAACCCAAACGCCTCCAACTTAAATTAAAATTTTTCGGATCGAGATTGACGAGAGACATTGGCGAGATGAGTTGAGATTGAAGACGAAATATTCGAGGGGGAAAAAAAAAAAAAAAAGAAATTGTCTTATTTTTGAGTCGAAATGGAAAAATGAAAAAGACACGTCGTTCGTTCTCAAGCTCATCTCTTATTTCAAAAAAAAAGAATTCTTTTCAATTTACATTGATTTATATTATCGTATTTATATTTATAATATTCTATTGTAGGTAGAAAAAAATATATACCGTATTGAACGGAACGAAAAGAAAAAATAGAGCGAGCGATCTTGAACTCTGAATAATTTACATAAATTTGTGAAACGAGATCTAAAGGAATATTTATAGAGAAATGTTATATATTTACAAATAAATATTTACGAAATTACGTCAGAGGTTTCAAGATCACAATAGAGATCGCAATTCGTCGATCAAAGCGATTGGGCTAAGGGGATGTTTTAGCGGAGAGAAAAAAGAGGGGGGGAAAAAAAGAAAAAAAGGTGGAAAAATGTCGATCGAGAAAAGCTCGTGAAAAATGATCTACGCTACGGAGGAGACGAGATTTCACATATAAAAGAAATGTCTATGGAGGAATGAAGATCTTTATGAAACACGAGCAAGTAGCAATTGAATCAAAATGAATCTGATTGAAATTGTAATCTAGCGATCGTGAAGTGGAAAAGGGGACAGATTTGTAAAAATCATACAGAAATTATAAATTTAGAAAATAATAACAGATTCTGCAGCACGATGACTTTTCTTTTTTTTTTTTTTTTTTTTAACAAAAAGCATTTCCTCGAGATTGGAGCGAATTAAGAAAAGAAAAGAAAAGAAAAGAAAAGAAAAGAAAAAAAAAAGGAAATTGCACAAATCAAGTGTTAGTGACGAACGAAAAAAAATGTCTCATCCCACCGCTTCCACTCCATGACTACTGTGTAATTAGAGCAAACTGGAATTACTGCACTCTGCGATGTAAGAATTCGAAATTACCTTTTTCAGAACAACGTTGTTGTTAATCTGTCCGGTAAAACGTTTCTCTTCGAACATTCTAAGCGGTCCAAACTCATACGTAACGAGTTGAATAAATACAAGATAAAAATAGATAAAGGGATAAAGGGGCAAGCCGAGCTTCTCGTATATATATATATGTATATACAAATGTTCCGAGAAATGTTTCTACGAATGTTTTTTCGAATATTTTTTAATGGTAAGCGTCGTAATGTGGCAGGTTGTTTGGTAATGTTTGGCGAAGCAACGATTCAAAAGTACTTTCCTGAATCATAACGATCTTCCACGTCCACAATGTTGTATAGCAAACGTTCGATAACCGAGTAATGGTATAAAAAATTCCTTACTCGAATATTTAAGGATATTCTATGTGTCGTGCAGAGAACAACATTCCTCAGACAATAATTAGAGGCAAACGATAGAGAGAGAGTGAGAGAGAGAGAGAGAAAGAGAGAGAGAGAGAGAGAGAGAGAGAAAGATAGAGATATAGAGATACAAAGAGAAAGAGAAAGAGAAAAGAGAGAGGGGGAGAGAGATTTGGATAAAAAAGAAGAAAATAAAGGAAAGAAATTTCGATCGACCGAGTACACGCGAATTTTCTCACCGGTTATGGAGTTCAACGTGGAGCTCCTCTGTTTTGGCTCGTCGAATTCTAGGTTCAATGGCGTCACATCTTGGCCGGCTTTGTCGGTGCTGAATTCCAAAATTCCGTGGCCACTTCCTTTGTCGCTGAGAAAGGGGGAAGAAAAAGGAAAAAAAAAAAAAAAAAAAAAAAAAAAAAAAAAAAGAAAAGAAAAAATAATAATACGTCAGGACAAAGAGATAGGTTTAATTTTACTTTTGGATTTTTCGGATTAAAGAACTTACTAATCTTCCTGATCACCCTGTAAAGAGTCTTGTCGACCAGTGGGGATAAGATTGGTGCCAGGACCACCACCGGGTCCTCGACGGTATCTTGGTGGACGGAAAGCGAATCTCCTAGCGTCGGCGTCGACGTCCGTTGGAGTACTGACAGGAAACCTTGCTGATATTGGATCGACACCAGCCTGTTCCTCCTGCGAATCGTTTCAAAATTTCATTTTAAAAAGATCCGCGAGAAATAATCATACAAGCCTTCCTTAAACGATAGATCTTTATTCGATATGAATAAGAATAAATTGGAAAAATTCTGCATGATATATTATATATAGAATAGAAGAATATTTCTTTTCGAAAACCCATTCTTTTGTTTTAAGACGATATCTCAAACGATCCCAAAGATACAGTATTCTAAAATGCAGAATATGGATCATTGAATAATAGAGGAACTTCCAGGAAACGGAGTGACCTACTTTGTTTCCTCATATTAGATTAATGAACAATAGAAAAAAGCAATGACTCACCCTTTGTCACTGATCTATACGTAAGGCCAGACGTAACGAAATATTAAAAAATTAATCTTTTGTTTGAACGACGATATCTCGGGAACCGGAAATGATATCGAGATAAAACAGAAAACGTTTTAAACAGAAGAGCTTTCTTGTTCGCAATTGTGAAAGATTTTTGGAGGGAATGTAAAAATCTTTGGAAGATGATATATGAGATAAAACAAGAAGCACATTTTAAACAGAAGAGCTTTCTTGTTCGCAATCGTGGAAGATTTTTGAGGGGAATGTAAAAATCTTTGGGATACCAAGATTTCAAAGTTTTAGTAATTTTAATAAATATTTCGTACACTTTTTCGATGCTCTTTTAAATCATCTATACTTTTGAGATAAAATTATTTGTCTAATAATAGTTACATCTCAAAGTATACATCTCAAAGTATAAAATACCTCGGCTCGAATTAAAATAATCGAGGTAATCTTTTTTTGAAAAGAATATTCAATTAACGTAAATTGTTCGTTTGAAAAATTAACAAGAAGAACATTAATACAATTGGATGAACAAATACGTACGTCTCTCAGATTAAAAGTGATCTCGAGATTCTGGCTGAAGTGATTCGAGAATTCTGGATAAAGGGCCAGAACGTCGAGTAGATCGTCCCTGTGTATCTTGTGCAGATCGCAATAGGTCAACGCTCGCACGTTGCAAGACGCTTTGCCAACGGTCGGATATATGCAAGGATTCTCCCCGAATATGTCGTCCTTCGCAAGTATGGCCATCACGACGTCGCCCTTCAATATCTCTATGCTGCCTCGCGATATGAAGTACAGGGACGTTAACACGTCTCCTCGATGAACCAACGTGTCACCGGGTGGCGCGTGTGTGGTTTTGAATTTTAACGATAACGCCCTGAATAAATCAGAATTGTTATTACCATTATTATTTCACTATTATTATTATTATTATTATTATCATTATATCCAACATATAGAAATTCCACGAATACCTTAAACAACCAGGACTGGCACCCTCGAAGGCTCTACAGTTGTTTAGAAGATTTCTGTTCAGATGAAGACAGATGTCCGCCTGAAGGCACTCGGGGAATCCTTTCAGAACGCTGTTCATGTCGATTCCGTTCGTGTACGTCCAAGCGTGTTGAAAGTACTCCTCCAATCTCTGACGAAGCGGATTCGGGATCTGATGGAATCTGATGAACTCTCGAACTCGAAGCATCTGCGTGTGGTATCTTGCTGTACCGCTGTAAAGCCTCTGAATGATGGCCGAGACGTTACCGAAGATACTGGCATACATCAAAGCTGGAAAGAGAGAGGGAGAGAGAGAGAAAAAAAAAAAAAGCGACGAGTTAATGGATATCTAAGGAAATCTCACGCGTTTTTCTTTTTTTTTTTTTCTTTTCTTTTTCTACGTTACGTCAGTCTGTACAAAAAAAAAAAAAAAAGAAAGAAAAAAAAATACAAGGAAAATTTACAACATTTACATAATAAGTCTTTAAAATAATTAATTTAAAAAGCGACGACATCATCCTCCGGTCGATACTTACATCCAATTAGCATAACGATTATAGTAAATATCTTCTCGGTGTCCGTGTTTGGAGCCACGTTTCCAAAGCCCACCGATGTTAAACTACTAAAGGTAAAATACAGTGCTGTGATGTAGCGGCTCTGAAAAAAACGAAAGAAGGAAGCTTAGATCAAGTTGAAATGATCGATGTAATCGATAGAATAATTAATAATATCGAGTACAGCATTTGAACAAATTGGACGCACCTTTATACTCGGCCCACCGGTGTTGTTGTGAAAATAAAACTGATGCGTGTCGTTGGCAAGTATATCGAGCCAACCGACTTTGCTCTTCAACGTTGGTCTCTCCGCGTTTCCTATGGCGTACCTTCAATAATAAAATTCCATTCGTTGCGATCAATAATAATAATAATATTTCCAACAGAGAATCCACAAAGAATCCCTTTCTTTCCAAGAAACGAACGTTTCTTTTTTTTCTCGCGATTTAAATTTAAATATTGGTTTTTTTCTTTCTTTCTTTCTTTCTTTCTTTCTTTCTTTCTTTCTTTCTTTCTTTTTTTTTTTTTTTTTTTTTTTTTTTGCGCAACTCACCATATACACGCCATCCAATGGGCACTAAGAGCAAAGGTGCCCATCAAAAGTAGTAAAACAGCAGCTCCATATTCGCTGTACCTGTCGATCTTCCTGGCTACTCTGACGAGTCGCAAAAGACGAGCCGTCTTCAATAGTCCTATCAAGGTGGTCGTCTGTAAAGAACACGTTACACTTTGTCGATCTTACAGCTCGGCCGTACGACACTCTTGGTTCTTTGCTTGAGTTTTCCATTTTCGAAGCTTGGATCAACTGACTTTGGCTCCCGATCGAACGAGAATTTCGGATGAGGGGGAACGAAATTCAAAGAAAAAACAAATTTTTCTCTTTAAACGTTACATTTCGAGTTATTGCGGCAAATCGATTAAAAATGTCAAATTGAAAGAGCCACGTATTTGTATCGCGCTAGACGATTAACGGCGACTCGATAAGAAATGTCAGGAAAGTGATAAATAATTAAATAGCGTCCCCGATACGCTTTCGTTGTTCAACAATTCCATTCTTTTTTTTTTTTTTTTTTTTTTTTTCGAATCGTCCTTCCTCCTCCAAACGACGACGCCAAAGTCAGTTCGAGTCAGTCTGAGTTATTGCTGCGATCGTAGTTTCTTTTCTTTTTTTTTTTTTTTTACGAGGATATCTATAATAAACGCCGACTGCCTGTTCTCGAGTTCGATCGATCGAGACGTCGTCGCCACGTCGGTCACTTTTAGGTCAGCCAGAAGCTCCGTAGTATCTAATATCGTTTGATATTTTTTTTTTTTTTCTAAAGATGCTCGAGCGATCCTTCGATCACGTGCAACTTTTCTTTTTTTTCTTTTCATCCGCAATCGCGGAAACTTCGTTCCATTTCTCGAAAAGAAAACAAAGGAGAGAAGCTCCATCTTTAATTTTGCGTTTGCTCAATTTACCTGAGCGTTTAATAAAATTAAACACGATTCTTACTTAAAAGTTCAAAAATAATATATCAATAATGATAAAGTTACTTGTTTCGATTTAATAATCATTAACTAAAGTTAATAATTAAGTAATAATGATAAAGTTAAAGTTGGTAAAATTATTACTTATTAAGAGATCCACATCCAGAAAAACTGAATGTGGTAACTCCAAGAGAATTCCAATGTTACTACGACAATTTCTAGAACGAAACCAATCGAAATTGCGTACCGTACGTTTCGATCGATCTTTCGAGGATTTTTTTCTTTCTTATATTCCTCGATCGGGGGAGAATCGAGCAGTCGGCCGTTCAACGTTGCAAAATAATATGCATTCACAACCAATGTACTGTTGCAAACATTCTGCTGGGCCGTGATTACTCATGCATTCTCTCCGATGATAATTCTCTTACCTGTGCTTCGTGGTTCGAGATTCGATTAGCGGCCTGGACAAAAGGCATCGGATTTCGATCGAATCGTACCGGGTCTATCTCATGCAAAGTCGACTCCAACCAAAAAACTGAACCATTCGTCTAATAGTGATAGTAGTAGTAATAATAATTTTGCTAATCTCGACAATCTCGAACTTATGATACTTGGATACTTCACGGATTGCTCAGAGATGGTTACCCCAATTTCAAACCTATCTTTCGTTCGTATTTTTAAAAGAGAAACGTTAACGTCGTTTCGATTGGAAATAATATAACGATCGAGGGCAAGGCCATATTTCTTAAAACCGTTATTATTATCTCGCGGTTTTACTCTCGGATGATCACAATTCTTCCAAGATTTCGCGATTTGAAAACGGTCTGGAAACGATATTTTATATATATATATATATATCCATCGAGATCGAGTTGGCCGAGAGATGAGAAAGTTTGGCCGGCCTTTTATTCGGCCTCCGGATTACTAAGAATATCCGAGGACGTTTGATAACCGCCGCTGATAATAAGCGAAACGTTTTATTACGACGTACACGCGATGTACATCCAAAGAGAATGCATCGTGGAAGCTTGGAATACACTCGTGTCTCGTCCTATCTCGTCCTTAGATCACTAGATCTTTTATCTTTTCGGCAGAAACGATTTCATCCCCATGGTTGATTCTTGTTGTTGGCTTACGTCGGATAAATTGGTACCTCGATTAGTTTGCACAGTGGATACAATCTAACATCTGGACGTTGGTTTTTGATAAAAGAGATGATCAAAGGTTTGAAACGATTTGATTATTTCGAAAGTTGGATATAAATATATGTAAATATATGTAACCAATATATATATCGATGCATTTTAATATTTCGAGCTTCCACGAATTTTGTTTGATACTTAAACACTTGATTGATTATCGTTTGTTCACAGAGTGGATTTTGTACGAGAATGCATTCGAACGCATTCTTCTTCGGTGATCAACCAAGAGCAAAGCGAGCGAAAAATAAAGGAAATATTTAGATAGATACCTTTTGGTAAGTAAGTATCTCGTAACAATCCGTTCACTTTTTTTTTTCAAACAAGATACATTATACGTAAATAGAAAGAAGACGAAGCGTTCAAGCGACAGAGAAAACACACATGATCGTGTAGAAAAAAAAAAAAAAAGATAAAGAAATATGTAATATCCAGATATACAAGTATAAAAAAACATGATACACAATAACAGGGTATATGAGTTCTCGATTTACGTATTTAAAAAGCGTAAAATTATATATATATATATATNGTTTATTCAAAGAACATCGAATGAAGGATTATAAATATATAACGGTATAATACACACAAAAAGTTATCGTATTATAGGCCGGGCTTGTACAAATTTATACATGTATATTATAGATGTATACAGCTTGCAACAGAAGCGTAATTAATAAAAAGGTACGAAAAAAAGCTCGACAACGTAAAAACAGGATCAACAGAGAGAATCATTAATGAAATCCAGAGAGAGAAGAAACGCCAAAAGCTTACATACGATCGTTACAAAATCCCGTTGAAAAATCTTTCGTTTTCGGGGTGCGTTCGTTGTGTCACTATGTGATCCTCTGCGTCTCTCGCGTGTCGTTCTGTTTCTGTACGTGTGCGTGTGTATATGGGTGTATATGCGTGTGTGTGTGTGTGTGTGTGTGTGTATTTTTTTTATTTACGTATATGTGCGTATATGTCGCGTGTCTGTATATCGCGTGAGATTTGTACCATTGATGTATCGATTTTATTTATTTATTTATTTTTTTTTTACATCTTTCTCGACGACTATATGCCATTTGTATTTACCATTTAGAGGTGATCTATATACATATATATATACAAATCACCATTCATGGTTGTGGCTAGAATAATGGGCTTATCGTTCGATACGATCTTAAATAGTCGATTATTGGTATTTGCCATCTTTTGAAAAAAATCGATTTGATCGCGAGAGGATATTTTGTTTCTAATATTCTCGATACTGTTTCTTTTGTGTCTGTTCTAGATAGGGAATGATCGAAACACTCGTAGGTAAGCACGGATAATCCTGCAACCCCTGCAAGCTTAAATTGATTTACCAGGTGCAGTCGCGGATTCTATTATTCTAAAAGTATATTTCAGATATTTCTTTTTTGTATTAAAAAAAAAAAAAAAAAAAAAAAAAGCGGCAATATCGAACATCCTGCACAAAAATTAATAATATTCGCATAGTTGAGGTTGGATATCCAATTTTTTTTTTTTTTTTTTTTTTTTCATTCGTGACTTCGATATTCGATATATTCGAAACTTTTAAAACTATTAATTTAACGTTTAAATGAAAATTCAGAATTAAAAATCCCTTGTAACTGCACCTCGCATTGTTGAAAAAAAGAGAGAGAAAGAGAGAGAGAAAAAGAGAAAGAGATAGAAAGAGACAGAGAGAGAGGGAAAGAGAGAGAGAGAAAGAGAGAGAGAGAGAATGGAAGAGAGAACAGAAAAAAACAGAGAAGCCGAAGTGCAATAGATGTAAACGAGATAAAACTGTTCTCCTGCGGATTATTTTAAAACGTTTGACAGAAAATAATGAAGTTGTTTCAACAAGCTCTTTTCAGCCAGCTCTTCTTGTTAGCCAGCCATCTCTCTAATCTCATTTCATCTCTGATCAAGCTCGAACGATTTCGATGTACAATATCATCTAAATTGGTGCCACACAATTCAAGTGGATTACATTTGAACATGGAACAATATCGAGTTCTTTCGATTAATAGAATCGGTAGGAAAAAAAAAAAAAAAAAAAAAAGAAAGAAAGAAAAATAAAAAGGAGAAAAAATCGTCGGTTGACTAACTACAAAAAAACTTTCTAACTATTTTGCGATTATTCTCAACAAGTATTGATATCCAACGATACTACTTAAAAAAAAAAAAAAAAAAAAAAAAAGGAAAGTGAGAATTAGAAGACAAAAAAGATTAAATCCAATGAAAAACGATATAATGCTGGATCAATATTTGTTAGGAATAATTCATCTAAAACTATCAACTATCTAATCGGGATATTATATATATATATATAGAATATATAGAATATATAATAGGTATATATACAAAATACAATAATCTTATAAAAAACACTGATTACGAAAATATGATTGAAAAAAAATTTTTTCTTTTTTTCGCTTCATTCTTCATTCGTATCCTCGATAAATGTATTTATACAGAGATGCTTTCATACTCAGACTCAAGAACATGTTACACAAAAAGCTAGAGAAAAAGATAATAATAATAATAAAAAAAAAGAAGAGAGAGAGATAGAGAGATAGAGAGAGAGAGAGAGAGAGAGAGAGAGAGAGAGAGAGAGAGGTATATTTACGATTTTAATTATATACTTTGATGCAAAGATATAGATATTCCTACTCCAAGAGATCGTACGTGGATATATATTTTTATCGTTATCATTATTATTATTATTATTATTATGATTATTATTATTACATGGTTATTATTATTATTATTATTATTATTATTTACAGTATCGGTTTTTGCAAAATACTTTACTGTGAACATGCAGACGCTTCCTCAAGGTTCATCGTTGAGAAAATTTTCACGCCGCAGAGGACGGGAGAGAGCAAGTCGATCGACATTTCTCGTTTCTTTCTACCGAGATTATACCGAGGCAAACGAATGCTTCCAAAAATCTGGAAACAGATTTCATTATCGATTACTCTCGTAAACGCGACTTAAGCTAAACTAAAAAATTAGGATTTAACATTTTCTTATTTTTTCTGTTTTTTTGCTGATTTTATTTTATATTATTTTATGTTATTTTATTTTATTTTTTTCAATGTCGATCGACTTCCTTGAACTTTCTTGACAAATCGTGGGGTTGCAGTTGGTCGAATTTTCTTCTTGTGTATGTTCTCTCGTGTGTGCGAGTGTGAATGTGTTATGTATGTATTCGTGTACAATGTAGACACACACATGTACGCGTGAAGATCGTGGAAGTGGAGATGAAAGATCGAGAAAAGAATGAGTTCGTTTGTGTCTGTGTGTGTGTGTGTGTGTGTATGTTTGTATGGAAAAGAATTCTGTGCAAGAAAAGACATCAGTGTTTCTTTTCTTTTTGTTTAAGCAATTGACTGTACATGATAGAAATAGATAGGTAGAGAAAGATAGATAGATAGATAAATAGATAGATAGATAGATAGATAGATAGATAGAGAGAGAGAGAGAAAGAGAGAGAGAGAAACAGATAGATAGAGATATAAAAGATATAAGAGATAGACAGACAGATAACAGAGATGTAGGAAGGTAAAAGGTAAGAGTTAACAGATAGAAAAAATTCATGGCTGCGTTGGTGACTTTTTTAATCAATTAGTGTGTAGAAAAACGTGTGTAAAATCGAAACCTGCGTTTTATTAAAGAAAAAACAACAAAAAAAAAAAAAAAAACGTCAGCCTGTGAGTAATTTTTCTGTGTGTATGTGTGTCAACTAACCTCGTCCTTGTCCAAGCCGAGCTACGAAAACGTTAAACTGAGGTTAAAATTCGTTCGTTTAATGATTTTTCGTGATTGGTTTTTTTAATTTTTGTTAAAAAAGATTGGAGATAAAATCAAGTGAAAAAAGGAAATTATCATCCTCTTTACTTTTACTCTTTTCTTTTGGAAAAAAAACATCATTGTGACAATGGGGCTTAATTAATAATCGTTCATAAAAAAAAAAAAAAAAAAAAAAAAAAAAAANAAAAAAAAAAAAAAAAAAAAAAAAAAAAAGATTTGCTTATCCCCTTATCCTTCTCGACGTCAGAGACGTGTAAAAAATAAAAAAATCAATTTTACACATTATTCGCAGGGAGATATGAAACTCTCGCCAGAGTTTCTCGTAGATTGATTTCAACTTACGCATCGTGCTCGTGAAATAAACTTTCCTGCACGCGCAATTAAAATTACACTGCCCTATTTTTGCTCCTCCAGCAAGAAACACAGGGAAGAAGGGGGTCACATAGATTACTCGCAGGTGCATCATTATTTTTTTTTTTTTTCTTTTTTTTACGCGGTCGATTTTGCGTTTCCAATCCTTCGTCTTTTCGTGATACGTATATATATATATATATATTTTTTCCTCTTTTTTGACGAGCATCATGAAAAACAAAATGAAAAAAAAAATATATATATATATATATTCACCCGAAGAATAAGGCGTGTATGCTAATTTTCCCTCGCGGAGGAGAAACACGAAAATTATGAGAAACGAAACGGAATATTACGAACGTAAACATAATAATTAATTAAAAAACTGAAAGGAAACGAAAGAGAGAGAAAGAAAAAAAAGGAAACAAAAAGAAAACGAGACACGGGACAAAGAATACAGAAGAGAAATCTTGACAAGGAACTGACAATAAAAATCTAACATTTCGACAATCAGAGCAGAAACCTTCACAGCGAGAGATTAAATTTACTTACACATGTATAGATCAAGTGTGTATGCATACGTGTGTGTATAGGTACAAATTCAATTGAAAACTATTAATTATTCGTCAACTATATCTTTCTTTCTTTGTATATATTTCTTTCTTTATATAAAAAAAAAAAAAAAATAAAAAAAAAAAGATTTTACGTTACAATGCGAATGCCAATTCGTATTTATATATTCTTCCAATGAATTCAAAAGTTTGATTAAAAGTATGATTTTTTTTTCTTTTCTTTTCTATTCTAAACTTTCTTTTCTTTTCTTTCTTCTTTTCTTTTCTTTTCTTTTCTTCTTTTTTTTCTTTTTTCTCTTTTACTTTCTCGATTCTTTCTCGATATTTTTCTTTGATCTATAACGTATGTGTACCATCTGTGAAACTTGTGTGAAATCGTTCCAGATAACGAGAATTCGTTAAAGTTATTTCTCGTTCGCTGGTACGTATATTGTGTGCACATTTAATAATACGTCGAGTCGACTAACTTTCGACAAAGAAAAAAAAAGAGAAATCATTCAACACCGAGAAACGTCGAAAAAAGGGAAAACGAACTAAGCACCAATCCGGTAAGACACACCTATGGGCACTTAACTTGGGCTCGGCATGTCATCCTAATCATATTTACGAGCTAACATCGACATTCTATAAACCTCGGCCGAAAACCTGATCAAATCACTTTCGTTTTAACGCCATTCTATTCTCGTTTATCAATTTCTTTTTTTTTTTTTTAACCTATACACGCATATATATATATATATATAGTCTCATGATTATAATCTCATTTTGGAAACGCTCCCACGTTAAAACAATATTTAAAAACGTCTATTCACGACACGATGAAATTTTCTGTGAATCTTATTTACCATCTTTCTTTCATCATCACCGTTAATCATCGTTAAAAGTTCGATCAAATTTGAGAGAAGTAGAGAAGAATTTGTCTACTTTTCTTTCTCGAGTTTATCATATTTATGGATAAAAACTTGGTATTTCGAAAGAAAAGAAAAGAAAAGGAAAAAAAAAAAAAAACGAAAGTGATTCGACAAATGATCAGGGATTCAGCCTGGAAAGAAGATTCTCAGAAAACGTGGAGCGTGCGACGAAACTTACCTCGTCAGTGTGAGAGCCAACGAGAAAAAGGTCGAAGGGTATGGCCGCCACCAAGTCGATGATGAACCAACCCTTCAGGTAATGGACGGCTATCTTTGCAGGATGGGACACCACTTCATCGTTGCTATTCACGAAAGTCGTGCGAAAATTTATGATGATGTCCACTATGAAAGTGACGTCGACTGAAACACCAAAAGCCTCGTGAAAACAACGACTATATGCGCGTAGAAAAAAAAAATAACTATCGTTTATCCTCGATTATCGATTAAAAATTATCCTAAAAAAAAAAAAAAAAAAAACGAAGCGAATACCAATAGTATACTATATAACCAATAATACTATATACATATATATATATACTATAAACAATAAAAGGATTAATCAAAAATTTACTTTTATACATCGAAACGAAACACGTTCAAAAATCTTGATCGAAATTATTTTTTTCGGATCGATCTATTTTTGCGACTATCTGCCTAAACATCCGCACACGACACAAGCTCTATCTACGAAAATAAATATCTCTGACCACCGATCTAAGTTTTACTCTAAAGCTCTAAATACAAATGATCTCTACCAAATTTGATCATGGCCGTAAGCGCGAGGTGAAACAGAGACTCACTGTTCATCACACAAAAATTTCACATTTTCACCCCCGATATCTCTTTATTTTATTATTATTATTATTATTATTATTATTATTCTTGTTGTTGTTGTTGTTGTTGTTATTATTATTATTATATTCGTATTCGTATTCGTGTCTCACCTATGAAGTCTATGATGACGATGGGATCGTCACTGTACTTTTTGTTCTTCCTGCTGTTGTAATCCGGATCCGACAGGACGAAGGCGGCTACGTACGGGGTGAATATGGCGGTATACAATACGAGCAACAGTATCACCCAGTCCCAGACCGCTTTGAAGGGTGAATAGTGTAGTATGGTCCACTTGCCGATTCTAGGTGACTGTAATTTGTACTCTGGGAGGATATCGTTTCCAAGGGACAGCACCTGGAGCACACGTTATCACACATCTTGGGAAAGGATAGATTCGTCGTTCATCCCTCCGTCAATTTTCTTTAACCACAAAAAGAAAAATGATGAAACGATTGGCTAGATTCTACTATCTTCTTAACTTTCAATTTTTTCCGATCCGATCCGTTTCTCAAAAATTTTTCCCTCGTTTTTGTTTCTTCCCTCACCCTCATTTTTCTCAAACCATTCTTACTTGTAAAAAAAACACCAAAGAAGAGGATTTTAATCTTTTCGAGATAAAAAAGTTTGATATTTGCTTTTTTTTTTTTTTCGTTCGATCGTCTCTTTTCTTCTTTTTTTTTTTTTTTCCAAATCAAGAATAGAGATTTCTTTCTATTATCCTGTTCCGAGATCGATATCTCGATTTCTCACTTGACTTCTCGCCGATCTCGTGCACGCCAATTTATTTTCGCGGTGAAAATAAATCCGGACAACGAGCAGCACAAGAGTACAAGATTCTTAATCTAAAAATCGATTGATAAAAATTTTCGATAATCGAAAATAACGTGGCAACGTTATCGCCACGTTTATCGAAGGTGTGGAGAGAGAGAAAAAAAAAATATATACATATATATATTCCCCCGTTCCGTGTTCGTTTTAATACAGCGTTATTTCCCACCCTGTCCGAGGGAACAATATCTGAAACACCTTTGTTTCTGTCTGCATTTTCAACTTCCTTTCCTTTCTGTCGAATACCAACACGCCGAGAAACGCGAAAAATACGACACCCACGCGAGCTCTTTTCACCATACGCCTTTGCGCCGTACCATTTTATTCAACAGCGGAGAGAAAGATTTGTTTCCACTCCCCGCCCCCACCAACCGTTTAAACCTTCTTCGTCCGGCGTGGGAAAAATCCATCGTGGGAAAAATCCATTCTCCAGTCTATTTTCAATTTTTCTATCCTTTCTTTTTTCTTTCTTTTTCAATTCGTACAAAATTTCATTTAATTAATTATTAGGGGAAGGGAGAAAAAAAAAAATTCCACTTCAAAGAATAAGAAGTAGATCTTTATCATCCAACAGAATTCGTTGGGAAGGAAAACAATCGTCAAGATTGTCGTTTCATCGAGATGCTGAGCTCAAAGAGCTTCGGAACGAAATTATCTATTTCGTTTCGATCGACGGTAAAAAAAAGAAAAAAAAGAAGAAAACAAAGAAAACCACGATCCAATTGGAAAGAGAAAAAAACCTGGTGAGCAAAAGGGGACGGAAGAAGAGTGAGAAAAATTACGCGAGACGCGTAGGAGAGTAAGGAAGACAAGCTAACCTGCCTGGCACAGTAGCGTTTCGACTTGCTAATTGGACTCTCTGCCATTTAAACCGGCCTTTATGGAGGTACTACGACGAAACGAGCGCGGCCACCGATCGACCATAAGTAAACACTTGACACGCACTATGCTTCCAACTCGACGACGACGACGACGACACACTCGCACACACGCGCGCGCGCGCGCGCACACATACACACACCGGATGGAAAACACGTGCACTTTATTCACCGCTTCGTATACACCGCTGTAAACGAATTCACTCGCGCGATTCCAGATCCACGTTGCAGCGTATCCACCACTCCTTGCCTCCTCTCGCGTGACAATGTACACGCGACAATGCACACGATATCCTCGATCGAAAAGCGAGGAAGAAGAAAAAGAAGAAAGAAAATCTAGAGGGGAAGGAGGAGAAGGATGAGGAGGAAGGAAAAGAAAGGATTACTCTCTCCTCTCCCGATGTCCTCTCCCGAGGATGCTACGTATCACGCCTTACTCGCGCTCGACTATCGTCTCGTTTTCTCTCCTCGCAGTAACCATCACGCGTTTTATCGAGCGCGAAACGAGGCGAGCCGAGTCGGAGGAAAAAGCGGCGGCGGCAAAACGACGGTGTCGATCCGAGTGAAAGCCCCTAGTCAGAGGCTGGAAGGAGGAACCGGGGGGGGGGGGGGGAGGGGGAGGGGTATCGATCCGGCGGAGGGAACGTTGTCCCAAATAGGGGGGAAAAATATCGGTTGTTTACAACGCCGAGAGAGGAAGAACCGGAAGAGTCCTAGCCGAGTGCTAGCCTCACACTGATGCAATGCGGACCGCGAAGGGTGGCGGCGTTCGATTGGCGAAGGGGAGGACGGCGTGGAGCGACGTGGAGAGAAAGAGAGATAGAGAGAGCGAGCTCGAGCGTGTAGCGCGCGCGTGTATATATGTGTGTGCGCGCACGTACGTAAGTGAGAGCCTGGTGTATACGCGAGAGAGAGTGCACGTGTATGTGTGGGTTAGGCAACCCCCTACACGTCGTCACACCCTACACGCGTTTCGAAGCGATCCAACCTTAGAAGCGGTTAGCCGTGTTACCTCGATAGGGGCTGTCTTCGCCCGTAACCACCCCTGTAACGAACCCCTTCCACGGCCGTCCCGTGCAATTTTCTAATCGGAACTAATCACCGGGAGGATCGTGATCAACCGTCGTCCCTCTCTCCCTCTCTCTCTCTCTCCCTCTCTCCACTCTTTCCTTTCCTCGGCTCGATTCCTGCACGCTCGTCGAATGGCGGTGATGGCGCTCCGCTCCGTTCCCATTTATTTTTCCTGCCGGCACGCGGTTTATTCCTCCGCGTTTGTTTGCACGTTTCGACGTCGACTATTCGACGCGCCAGCGACTCCTCTGTTTACCTGACCGACTGCCCGGATCATCGGCGGGGGATCTGTTGCTCCACGCGAACTATCGCTTCCGTTCTCTTTCTCTTCTTCTTCTTCTTCCTCCTCCTCTTTTTCTTTTTTCCAGATCCGCGCTGCTTTCCCTCTCTCTCTCTCTTTCATTCACGTGTCATCATCATCATCACGGTCCATCACGCGATATTTCACGCGAATCCTCGATCCCTCTTTCGTATCCTCGAAGATACGTATCCGATGATTTTTTAATTAGAAACGTTTGCAACGATTAACGCGTCAGACCCGTGTATCGATTACGGGATTATTATAAATAAATCGTTCTCCCCAGACGCGATACACCTTCGTTGTCTCGATTTAGTCGAACAGCTTTAAACGGTGTCCCCGTGTCACGGACACAGAATACCTGATCGATTTCTCGTTACTCGAAGGCGGTCGGCGTAGATAGAGGCTCGTTGGAAAACTATCGTCACGACGGACGGGGAAAAATGCAAATCCGGCAAGGATTATCTTTTATTCATGCACCGTACCTGCTCTAACCGACGGGCGAACCGACCTGCTACTCCTCCTGGTACCTGGCTGTGGAGTGGAGGGGGTGGGGGTGGGGTCGTGACCCGGCAGCCTCGTTTCAACGACCTCTTCGTCGTTCGTCGTTATTTCTAACGAGGCGCGAATTAACGGGCCGAGGTTCTCAAAAAAAAAAAAAATAGGAGAAACGAGGAGAAACGTGGTGGAGAAACTCGTGGACGATGGGACGCTTTCGTTTTCGAGGGGATACACCGATATATCGTTCATTTCGCAGAATCAGCGTGGAACGCCGCGGGCGCAGTTTCTCGAGAAAGAGTGTACTCGCCTCTATTCGATGACAAATCGCGATCGCTCAACTGGATCTTGGAAAGCGGACCATCGATCTCTCACGATGGAGGGAAGAAGATGCTTCTCGAATGAATCGTTGGCTCAGATTTCTTCCTCCTCCTCCTCTTCTATTGATTCGGGGTCAGAGGTCGATCTCTACGATCGAGCCTAAATCGGGAACAAGATTGAGGAGATTGTTCCAGGTATTCGTTGAAGCGAAATCGAAGCTGACTTCGAATCGATGGATCGTAGCCATACTATATTTAGGCATGGCTGCCCTACTTAGACGCACGAAGGGCTGAATATCCGACCAGCACGAACGATTCGAATCAACTTTTAAACACCACCACTTTTCCCCCTCACTCTCTCTCTCTCTCTCTCTGTCTCGATCGACTTTGAAATTCGATAAGATTAATTTCCTATCGAAGAGAAAGAGGAGGAGAAGGAAGAGGAGGGATTCTAGGAAAATTCTAGGAATATCGTTACATCGAAGGGAAATTTTCGAGGAAAATTGAATTTTAAGGAAGAGACGGCTCGAGATAGAAGCGAGTAATTGGGGCGTAAGCCGCCGCCGCCGCAGCAGCAGCACGAAATGGGCGCTCGAAGGAGCGAAAGAAATATATATTCCGAGAATATACACGTACATTGGAAATTCTGGGCGGAGATGGAATCCTGGTGTCCGGATTAAACCGGCGCATAGACATAATTACTAATTAGAGCGTAATTGACGTTTCAGCGCGTACACACAGAGAGACAAATTCGGGATCAATTAGAGGCCGCGTTGCGAGCCGACCGACGGAATAATTGAACGCGCGGGTCGTCGCACGAAAAATATCGCGTCACGTGATATTTGGTCGGGCTGCAGCGTGACCTGGAATATCGTCGAATATGCCTGCCCTCGTTGGATACGAGAAGAGAATGACGATGACTTTTTGATCGAAAGAAGAGAAACGAGCGAGAATGGATAACTTCCAAGATAATTAATTCTCGCAATAAACTTCTCTGAGACTTCTCCCTTTCTAGTCAATCTAACTTTTGATCAATAATAAACAAAGAGACGAGGCTATGGAAAATCCTTTGAAACATCTCTTTGAAATATCTGATTTCCCTCTCGCCGGGTATAGAGGAAAAGTTTAATATTTATTTTCTAGAGTTATTTATCTTTGCTCTCGTAGCAGGACGGCTCATTGTTTATTAAAACAGCCGTTTGCTATTTCGGATTTCGAGTGGCATAGCTCGCGCTTTATGCCCCGTGGAAGGAATGTCGCGGGAGCTTGGGCGCGATCCGTGGATAGATTCCTGTACAACTTCATTCCGACGAGTTATGCGGAAATGACCCGTTTTCCTTTAATAAATTCACAGGCCATCATCCTCTTTGCTCACGCCCTCCACGAAACCGGGGGAATTCCAAACTGTTCTGCTCGGCAACGATGCACGCATACACCGTTTCCGATAATTTATCACCCGAT